TCCCGGCGCCGCAGGCGCTTCAAATTTGGCAGGATCTTGCCTTGGGCGACAGAACACGGGGGCCGGTTGGCCGAAAAGTATACGATGAGGGGGTCAAAACTGACCTCGACTGACCGGCGCCTTATATGGGCGAATTAATTAAGCATTCAAATTCTCAATGTTTTCGAAAGCCTAAGTGAAGCTGGGCAGCATGCCTAGTATATATATATTGGGGAGACGGGAAGCTTGACTCAGACGCCGAAATGGGTCTAAGATTGGCTGTTAGTGGCGCTTAGATTGGCTGTTAGTGGCGCTAAGATTGGCTGTTAGTGGCGCTAAGATTGGCTGTTAGTGGCGCTAAGATTGCCTGTTAGTGGCGCTAAGATTGGCTGTTAGTGGCGCTAAGATTGGCTGTTAGTGGCGCTAAGATTGCCTGTTAGTGGCGCTAAGATTGGCTGTTAGTGGCGCTAAGATTGGCTGTTAGTGGCGCTAAGATTGCCAGCTTTAGTCTAGAGTGGAACCGAGATAGCTTGAGTGTTTGTTCTCTGGAGTCGTCTGTCGTCTGGAGTCGTCTGTCGTCTGGAGTCGTCTGGAGTCGTCTGGAGTCGTCTGTCGTCTGGAGTCGTCTGGAGTCGTCTGGAGTCGTCTGTCGTCTGGAGTCGTCTGGAGTCGTCTGGAGTCGTCTGTCGTCTGGAGTCGTCTGTCGTCTGGAGTCGTCTGGAGTCGTCTGTCGTCTGGAGTCGTCTGTCGTCTGGAGTCGTCTGGAGTCGTCTGGAGTCGTCTGTCGTCTGGAGTCGTCTGTCGTCTGGAGTCGTCTGTCGTCTGGAGTCGTCTGGAGTCGTCTGGAGTCGTCTGGAGTCTGGAGTCGTCTGGAGTCGTCTGTCGTCTGGAGTCGTCTGTCGTCTGGAGTCGTCTGGAGTCGTCTGGAGTCGTCTGGAGTCGTCTGTCGTCTGGAGTCGTCTGTCGTCTGGAGTCGTCTGGAGTCGTCTGTCGTCTGGAGTCGTCTGGAGTCGTCTGTCGTCTGGAGTCGTCTGGAGTCGTCTGGAGTCGTCTGTCGTCTGGAGTCGTCTGTCGTCTGGAGTCGTCTGTCGTCTGGAGTCGTCTGGAGTCGTCTGGAGTCGTCTGGAGTCTGGAGTCGTCTGGAGTCGTCTGTCGTCTGGAGTCGTCTGTCGTCTGGAGTCGTCTGTCGTCTGGAGTCGTCTGTCGTCTGGAGTCGTCTGGAGTCGTCTGGAGTCGTCTGTCGTCTGGAGTCGTCTGTCGTCTGGAGTCGTCTGGAGTCGTCTGCCGTCTGGAGTCGTCTGGAGTCGTCTGCCGTCTGTCGTCTGGAGTCGTCTGGAGTCGTCTGGAGTCGTCTGTCGTCTGGAGTCGTCTGTCGTCTGGAGTCGTCTGTCGTCTGGAGTCGTCTGGAGTCGTCTGTCGTCTGGAGTCGTCTGGAGTCGTCTGGAGTCGTCTGGAGTCGTCTGGAGTCGTCTGGAGTCGTCTGGAGTCGTCTGGAGTCGTCTGGAGTCGTCTGCCGTCTGTCGTCTGGAGTCGTCTGGAGTCGTCTGTCGTCTGGAGTCGTCTGGAGTCGTCTGGAGTCGTCTGGAGTCTGGAGTCGTCTGGAGTCGTCTGGAGTCGTCTGGAGTCGTCTGTCGTCTGGAGTCGTCTGTCGTCTGGAGTCGTCTGTCGTCTGGAGTCGTCTGTCGTCTGGAGTCGTCTGGAGTCGTCTGTCGTCTGGAGTCGTCTGGAGTCGTCTGTCGTCTGGAGTCGTCTGTCGTCTGGAGTCGTCTGTCGTTGAAGAGCTTGATTTGAGCCTGTGATTGTGAACACGTGACGTCATTAGCCGAGGGTAGCAAGCCTAGCATTAGTGGCCGCAGTAGGGAGATTTCTTGCCATCTAGAGCCAATTAGCAGCTGGAGGTTAATCAACCTTAACCACCGCCTTTACATTCAATAGGCAGTATCTGACGCCAAAAGATCAGTATTAAAACATTGCAGCCTAGTTCATATCAAGATTAAATCACAGTCTACATTTCTTATCAGTTTATATCATAATGTACACACCTCAGCTGGGTATATCACATAATGTACACGCCTCAGCAGGGTATATCACATAATGTACACACCTCAGCAGGGTATATCACGTAATGTACACACCTCAGCAGGGTATATCACATAATGTACACACCTCAGCAGGGTATATCACATAATGTACACACCTCAGCAGGGTATATCACGTAATGTACACACCTCAGCAGGGTTTATCACATAATGTACACACCTCAGCAGGGTATATTTCTTTAAAAACCCTAAATCTAACCTTGAATCTAATCCTACTCGTGGTGAGAGTTTGTCTAACCATTATCCTGACCATGTCCACAGTTGTTGATCATCTAGGTTAACTAGCTGGTCATATGGCAACAACGAACGGAAAGTGAAGCCGATCTGCTTGTCATTTCTCGCCGCATATAGAAGTTGAAAAAACAACCGTTAATGTTTCATTAGCAGACAACTCTTGATTGTTTTCTTAGGAGGATCGATACCTTGCTTTCTCCGCAGGAATACGATTGATTTTTTTTTAAATTCTACATAAGTACTAATCTTAGAACTGAAGAAATAGTCTTTCTTTTATCTAGGGATCATCTAGTTAAAACAGACATGCTAACCAATAGATGCAAACTATATATTTCTCCACAAAATAGGTGCAAACAATACGTTTCTCCACAAATAAGTGTAAACTATATATTTCTCCACAAATAGGTGCAAACAATACGTTTCTCCACAAATAAGTGTAAACTATACGTTTCTCCACAAATTATGTGCAAACTATACGTCTCTCCAGCCTACTGCTGACTTTGACTAGAAATGTGTAGAAGCTTTTTTTGAATGTGAAGGTCATTCATTGACCTAGTCGTACAGCTAATGTGAAGGTCATTCATTGACCTAGTCGTACAGCTAATGTGAAGGTCATTCATTGACCTAGTCCCGGGGTCTCCAAACTTTTCAGTCCGAGGACCGCATTAACTATCACATTTTAGTTCGGGGGCCAGTTACTTCCAGGCATGTCTTTGATTTTTTTCTGCGCAAAGTTCTTCAGCCATCACCAACAAACGATTTTTCCTTGGACAAAAAGATCTTCTTCACGGGCCGCATCCGACCCGCGGGCCGTAGTTTGGAGACCCCTGACCTAGTCGTACAGCTAATGTGGAGGTCATTGACCTAGTCGTACAGCTAATGTGGAGGTCATTGACCTAGTCGTACAGCTAATGTGGAGGTCATTGACCTAGTCGTACAGCTAATGTGGAGGTCATTGACCTAGTCGTACAGCTAATGTGAAGGTCATTGACCTAGTCGTACAGCTAATTTTGAGGTCATTGACCTAGTCGTACAGTTGTTTGGTGCGTCAGCTCTTGCCATCAGTGCCAGCAGCTGTAGATTGACCTCAGTGGGTCAAAGGTCATCTGTGTGACCTCAGTGGGTCATCTGTGTGACCTCAGTGGGTCATCTGTGCCGTTTGAGCCGTCTGTGAACTATTGAGTCAAATCTAGGTAAATAATGCTTTTTCTCTCGAATGACGTAGCCTTATGTGGTAATGAGCTTTTAACCTGATCAATTTATCTACGCTTTGTGATGGGGTCTGTTTAAATGGAGTTAAAGGGAATTACGCTCAATGAAATCATTTGCAAATAGCTTTTTGTATTTATTATATATACATAGATAAACAAGTAGATAGATAGATTGACTGATAGGTGGGTAGGTAGGTAGGCAGACAGGGTAGAACTACCTTAAGGGAATGATTGTATGTACGATCTGCAGGTGAATGATTGTATGTACGATCTGCAGGTGAATGATTGTATGTACGATCTGCAGGTGAATGATTGTATGTACGACATACACAGTGTTTTTTCATTCGTCTCATCAACAATTCCGCTGTACAAAGCAAATGATCGCTCTATTATTTCTTTGCTGATTTCTTTCTTATTGGCCAGCCCAACTGTCTCACATCTACAGCCCAACTGTCTGTCTCACATCTACAGCCCAACTGTCTCACATCTACAGCCCAACTGTCTCACATCTACAGCCCAACTGTCTCACATCTACAGCCCAACTGTCTGTCTCACATCTACAGCCCAACTGTCTCACATCTACAGCCCAACTGTCTCACATCTACAGCCCAACTGTCTCACATCTACAGCCCAACTGTCTCACATCTACAGCCCAACTGTCTCACATCTACAGCCCAACTGTCTCACATCTACAGCCCAACTGTCTCACATCTACAGCCCAACTGTCTCACATCTACAGCCCAACTGTCTCACATCTACAGCCCAACTGTCTCACACCTACAGCCCAACTGTCTGTCTCACATCTACAGCCCAACTGTCTCACATCTACAGCCCAACTGTCTCACATCTACAGCCCAACTGTCTGTCTCACATCTACAGCCCAACTGTCTCACATCTACAGCCCAACTGTCTGTCTCACATCTACAGCCCAACTGTCTCACATCTACAGCCCAACTGTCTCACATCTACAGCCCAACTGTCTCACATCTACAGCCCAACTGTCTCACATCTACAGCCCAACTGTCTCACATTGTTGATAATTTCTAGATTTGATATCTTTCTATTGTGGTCTATAAATTGTCGGCAGAATGGCAGGAAAATGGCCGAGTCTAAATTTGGACTGAACCATTTAGTCCGAGATAATCTCCGAGATATCCAGTCAAACGTTTCAATAGGATTAGCGTGTTTACCCCGCTTCCTGTACCACGTGACTCGTGTTTTTCTAGGACAGCTCCCGGTTGTACACGCGGGTACATGCACACACACACATGCACACACACATCCACACACACATGCACACACACACACATACACACACAAACACATATACACACACATGCACACACACAAACACACACACACACACTATACAATATTCACATATCGTGAGTACCATTAGCAATCTAATAATTACCTAATATTTCTTCTTCCTACCATCATGCTACTGTATCGATTGCCTTATATCCTTTACTTGCAGATGCCACTGAATTCTTCCAAAACGTGGAAAAGAATTTGGCTGTTCATCTGTCCAATATGCCCAACCGTTTCTGCCTGACGCAGTTGTTAAGTTCCTGGGTAAGTCCTCGCTCAAGTCTGCTGTCTGACGCACTTATTTTAACGATATAGCTAGAGTTAGTTAGAATTGGATTATTCAAACGGATTAATAGCAATAGAATTATCAAAACGGATTCCAATGGAAAATTTTCGTTCTTCTTTAATTTTCATATACATCAAAAAAAAAAAAAAGGTCGTAGTTCAGTCCAAATACATCCTCAATAAACCGGGAGTGATCTCCCCTAAACTTTCTCGAATATTCTTATATAAAACAACAGGGGATGGCAACTCGGGAAATAGACAATATTTTTAATCCATTTTAAATTACTTAAACTTTTAAAAATAGAATAGAATCTCGTAGGGAAAAAAATTGCACACCAAGTGAAGGCAAAACAAAATGTTTACAATAGTGCGGAATATTTTTAGTACTTTATAAATTCACATGCGTTGTTTGTTTTTTTTTTTTTTTTTTTTTTTTTTTGAGAAATCAGAAATAGCGTAAATTACTACTTCAGGTCAACGGAATTTACTCAGAAGGTAGAGAAATAGATATTTTACTTACATGTGAAATTTCATTTATCTATCTGAAATAGTACTCAAGTTATAGGCTTTTGAAAAATTTGAAAGTAGAAAAAGTTTCACTTCCGGTTATCAGAAATCGCTGAAAGGTTGATACAGATATACGATTTTAATATAATACTTATAAATGAAATTTCATCAACCTAGCTGTAACGGTACTCAAGTTATCGTGTTTACAGGCACACACGCATATAGACATACGGACAAGATTGCAAAACTTTGTTTTTCCGACTCAGGGAGCTGTAAATCGTCGAGATTGGCAAAAATCTCGATTTTTTTTTTTGCACTATTTCAAGACTTTCTCTATACTTCGTATATACAAAAAGTAAAAAGCTATATAAAATACATTTACACATGATCATGGCGTCACCTCTTCCCACCCCATCCCCCCCCTCAATTAGATGGTCAACTCTCCCATTCCAATTCCCCAAATTAGACGGTCAACTCTCCCATTCCCACCTCCCCAAATTAGACGGTCAACTCTCCCATTCCCATTCCCCAAATTAGACGGTCAACTCTCCCATTCCCACCTCCCCAAATTAGACGATCAACTCTCCCATTCCCACCTCCCAAAATTAGACGGTCAACTCTCCTATTCCCATTCCCCAAATTAGACGGTCAACTCTCCCATTCCCACCTCCCCAAATTAGACGATCAACTCTCCCATTCCCACCTCCCAAAATTAGACGGTCAACTCTCCTATTCCCATTCCCCAAATTAGACGGTCAACTCTCCTATTCCCATTCCCCAAATTAGACGGTCAACTCTCCTATTCCCATTCCCCAAATTAGACGGTCAACTCTCCTATTCCCATTCCCCAAATTAGACGGTCAACTCTCCTATTCCCATTCCCCAAATTAGACGGTCAACTCTCCTATTCCCATTCCCCAAATTAGACGGTCAACTCTCCCATTCCCACCTCCCCAAATTAGACGATCAACTCTCCCATTCCCACCTCCCAAAATTAGACGGTCAACTCTCCTATTCCCATTCCCCAAATTAGACGGTCAACTCTCCCATTCCCACCTCCCCAAATTAGACGATCAACTCTCCCATTCCCACCTCCCAAAATTAGACGGTCAACTCTCCTATTCCCATTCCCCAAATTAGACGGTCAACTCTCCTATTCCCATTCCCCAAATTAGACGGTCAACTCTCCTATTCCCATTCCCCAAATTAGACGGTCAACTCTCCTATTCCCATTCCCCAAATTAGACGGTCAACTCTCCTATTCCCATTCCCCAAATTAGACGGTCAACTCTCCCATTCCCACCTCCCAAAATTAGACGGTCAACTCTCCTATTCCCATTCCCCAAATTAGACGGTCAACTCTCCCATTCCCACCTCCCCAAATTAGACCTGCAAAAGCGCCTAGTTCTCACAGAGGTCAGCGGGCACGTGCCAACACAGAGGTCAGAGGGCACGTGCCAACACAGAGGTCAGAGGGCACGTGCCAACACAGAGGTCAGAGGGCACGTGCCAACACAGAGGTCAGAGGGCACGTGCCAACTAGATTTCTCTTGCACCAAGAGCTCCTTTGTATGGTAGCACACTTCAGAAATACGTTCAACTTGGATCTATTGTATGGTAGCACACATCAGAATTACGTTCAACTTGGATCTATTGTATGGTAGCACACATCAGAATTACGTTCAACTTGGATCTATTGTATGGTAGCACACATCAGAATTACGTTCAACTTGGATCTATTGTATGGTAGCACACTTCAGAATTACGTTCAACTTGGATCTATTGTATGGTAGCACACTTCAGAATTACGTTCAACTTGGATCTATTGTATGGTAGCACACTTCAGAATTACGTTCAACTTGGATCTATTGTATGGTAGCACACATCAGAATTACGTTCAATCTGCATTCCTAATTTTTGAGATCATTGTGTGATATGTTGTGTGTGTGTGTGTCTAGTTTTATGTTGATGTGGTGTGTGTGTCTAGTCTGATGTCGTATGTGTTTTGTGTGTGTCTAGTTTCACGTCGTATGTGGTGTGTGTGTGTCTACTTTGATGTCGTAACCTTTTCTACATGTATGTGACAATGTTCTGACATCGAATAAAGATTGTCCTGGTATTTTTATTTATAAAAAAATTGTTTTCAGACGCTGAAATAATCAATTTTAAAACATCAGGGCCTAATGGTCGGAGACTGCTTCAATTTAGGATAGAGATATCGACATTTTTCCTTGATCAATCTTCAAATTTGTATTCTCATTCATTGTCAATGAATACAATTTCTCTTATAGGCACACCCCTATATGTATCCACACAGTAGTACATGGACATACGACTGCCCTCCATACAATATTTTTTAGATACAAGCTGTTGAAGGCTACACTTTGACATACGACTGCCCTATATACAATATTTTTAGATACAAGCTGTTGAAGGCTACACTTTGACATACGAGCGACAACTGAGAAGCCACATCAACGGATCTAGTAGAAGAGCAACACCCTGAAACAGCAGCAACTAATTGTGCATCCCAACAACTTAATGACACTTTCCTAACTTCTTTCCCAAACAGTCTGAACGGGAAGAAAAAACAATGGACTGGTTTATTTTAACGGCCTGCGTGGGAAAAATTGAGGAAAGGGTGAGGTGGGGGGGGGGGGGGGAGGGGAGAGATTGTGGATAGTGTTGTGTAAAAACCAAAGAGCTGCGAGTAGAAAAGCTGGGACCGAAGATTGGGCGAAGAGAAGATAAAAAGTCACATATATGTTGTGTTATGTGCAGCTATGTTCCGTGAGGTTTAGGAATAAAGTGTGATGGTTAGAGTGTAACGAGTAGGTGAATAAAAGTGACAAAGGGCTTAGCATTAACAGTAAGTGAACAGCAGCTCCTCCGTCCTCAACACTCGGCCTACATTCCATTTTTTTTGTTTGGTCCTCCCAGTTTGAAGTTCCTAAACATTCCATATTTTTTTGTTTGGTCCTCCCAGTTTGAAGTTCCTAAACATTCCATTTTTTTTTGTTTGGTCCTCCCAGTTTGAAGTTCCTAAACATTCCATTTTCTTTTTGTTTGGTCCTCCCAGTTTGAAGTTCCTAAACATTCCATTTTTTTTTTGTTTGGTCCTCCCAGTTTGAAGTTCCTAAACATTCCATTTTTTTTTGTTTGGTCCTCCCAGTTTGAAGTTCCTAAACATTCCATTTTTTTTTGTTTGGTCCTCCCAGTTTGAAGTTCCTAAACATTCCATTTTTGTTTGTTTGGTCCTCCCAGTTTGAAGTTCCTAAACATTCCAATTTTATCTCTTTTATCTTCCAACCACCATTAGATGGCCAACTCTTTTATCTTCCAACCACCATTAGATGGCCAACTCTTTTATCTTCCAACCACCATTAAATGGCCAACTCTTATCTTCCAACCACCATTAGATGGCCAACTCTTTTATCTTCCAACCACCATTAGATGGCCAACTCTTATATCTTCCAACCACCATTAGATGGCCAACTCTTTTATCTTCCAACCACCATTAGATGGCCAACTCTTTTATCTTCCAACCACCATTAAATGGCCAACTCTTTTATCTTCCAACCACCATTAGATGGCCAACTCTCCCATCTTCCAACCACCATTAGATGGCCAACTCTCCCATCTTCCAACCACCATTAGATGGCCAACTCTCCCCACTATATAAATGATCTTGTGTCTCACGTCGTTTGTCGAACTTGTCTGATAGTGGCTCACGTGATAGGGACGTGCGTCTAGTGGAGCTCGACATTCAGGCCTGTGACCTTCTCCCTACGATAGCACGTCTGGCCAGATGGCGCTGGCATCGCTCAGTGTTTCCTGCCTCCATCCCATCATAGATCTTTCACTGTAAGCCCGCCTTAGGACATAGATCTTTCACTGTAAGCCCGCCTTAGGACATAGATCTTTCTCTGTAAGCCCGCCTTAGGACATAGATCTTTCACTGTAAGCCCGCCTTAGGACATAGATCTTTCACTGTAAGCCCGCCTTAGGACATAGATCTTTCTCTGTAAGCCCGCCTTAGGACATAGATCTTTCTCTGTAAGCCCGCCTTAGGACATAGATCTTTCTCTAGATCCATTAGTGCAATAAACAAATGTATGTGCCAGTTGATGTTACTTGATTGGAACTATCTGATGTTGTGCTGGTTTGAGTTGATGTTGTGCTGGTTTGAGTTGATGTTGTGCTGGTTTGAGTTGATGTTGTGCTGGTTTGAGTTGATGTTGTCCAGTCCTATTCCTGAGGTCACGTGACTTGATAAGGTGACACTAGCCCAGGTAAAATGCCAGCACTTGACCTGACACGCGAATCAAATGGTTCGAGACTGCACTATAGCAGGTGTCTGTAAAGGTTTCGATGGTTTTACCCGTGTGCTCACAAGTCGGCCATGCAAGATTTCCAGAAGATTTCCAGACTTCTGCTCCAGGCTTTAGGTGTCTGCTTACGCACCTACCGTCTGTTTGGGATTTTATTTATATGTTCTTTGAACGTCTGCATCAGATGACGTCATAACCGTATGATCAACTGAGAAAGGTTGTAACAGGTATATGAAAACAAACAGCAGCCAACAGCAAGCGATTAGCTGGTACACAAGTGACTTGATCTTCTCCCAATATTTTCTTTAGCCCTCAAACTCACTCTTGTTGTTTTCTAGCTTCAGTTCTCTTTAGCTTATATGGGTGGTTTGTGTGTGTGTGGGGGGGGGGGTGCACATTTCTACTAAACTGAACGTTTTTACAACACAACTGTGTGTGTGTGTGGGGGGGTGCACATTTCTACTAAACTGAACGTTTTTACAAAACAACTGTGTGTGTATGGGTGGGGGGGGGGTGCACATTTTTGACAGTATCTTTAGCTGACGTGTTTTTTATTTCTCCCCCAGGAGATGAGTGTAAGAAAAGCGTGCGACCCCGTCAACCCTCTCATTGCCCAGGTCAATCCGACCTTCGTCTAGACAAGCAACGGACGTTCCAGAACCTGTCCAGCAATCATTGAACCATAATGCTGTCCAGCAATCATTGAACCATAATGCTGTCCAACAATCATTGAACCATAATGTCCAACAATCATTGAACCATAATGCTGTCCAGCAATCATTGAACCATAATGTCCAACAATCATTGAACCATAATGCTGTCCAGCAATCATTGAACCATAATGTCCAACAATCATTGAACCATAATGCTGTCCAGCAATCATTGAACCATAATGCTGTCCAGCAATCATTGAACCATAATGCTGTCCAACAATCATTGAACCATAATGTCCAACAATCATTGAACCATAATGCTGTCCAGCAATCATTGAACCATAATGTCCAACAATCATTGAACCATAATGTCTTTTTTTGACAAATAAAAATATCGTTTCTGTTTCGTGTTTTCTATGATTGTGTGGTTGTCATCTAGCAGATAGCCGACACCATTATGTGGGACGCAGACATTATTGGAAGCGTTAGGGAATAAATCAAGCCAGTGGGTCTCAGCCTAAACGTTGAGAGTCCCATCCACCGGGCTCTTTCTCTTGTCTAGATTTTCAGTAGGGCACATAAAGCTTCGCCGCCACACATTCGTCAGTTCTTTTATTTTGGACTGGTTGAATTAACTGCAGCGTGGTGAGCACGTTGGCGATAGCCTGTTAATTAATTGAAATACCAAATACAGTCTCTCTAGTGTACCGACAAATGTAACACACATGACAAATGTTACACTTACACATGATGACAAATGTTACACTTACACATGATGACAAATGTTACACATGACAAATGTTGCACTTACACATGATAAGTACAGATATTGAGCATCACAATGTCTGATTAGCAAGTTCAGAATTGAGTGGCCTTGTCATATCATGTGCTGCTAGCTGTAGGGAAAGTCTATTTGATCTGTCTTAACGTGCTAGCATCGGTCGCCTCATTTTTTGTTTTTTTGTTTTGATGGCATCTACTTGGAGGGTGACACCCTCAGTTACCACACCAGGTTCATAGGGGTGGGGGTGGCACCCTCAGTTACCACACCAGGTCATGGGGGTGACACCCTCAGTTACCACACCAAGTCGTGGGGGTGACACCCTCAGTTACCACACCAGGTTCGTGTGGGGGTGGCACCCTCAGTTACCACACCAGGTTCGTGTGGGGGTGACACCCTCAGTTACCACACCAGGTTCGTGTGGGGGTGACACCCTCAGTTACCACACCAGGTTCGTGTGGGGGTGACACCCTCAGTTACCACACCAGGTTCGTGTGGGGGTGACACCTCAGTTACCACACCAGGTTCGTGTGGGGGTGACACCCTCAGTTACCACACCAGGTTCGTGTGGGGGTGGCACCCTCAGTTACCACACCAGGTTCGTGTGGGGGTGACACCTCAGTTACCACACCAGGTTCGTGGGGGTGACACCCTCAGTTACCACACCAGGTTCGTGTGGGGGTGACACCCTCAGTTACCACACCAGGTTCGTGTGGGGGTGACACCCTCAGTTACCACACCAGGTTCGTGTGGGGGTGACACCTCAGTTACCACACCAGGTTCGTGGGGGTGACACCCTCAGTTACCACACCAGGTTCGTGTGGGGGTGACACCCTCAGTTACCACACCAGGTTCGTGTGGGGGTGACACCCTCAGTTACCACACCAGGTTCGTGTGGGGGTGACACCCTCAGTTACCACACCAGGTTCGTGGGGGTGACACCCTCAGTTACCACACCAGGTTCGTGTGTGGGTGACACCCTCAGTTACCACACCAGGTTCATGGAGGGTGACACCCTCAGTTACCACACCAGGTTCATGGAGGTGACACCCTCAGTTACCACACCAGGTTCGTGTGGGGGTGACACCTCAGTTACCACACCAGGTTCATGGGGGGGGGTGTGACACCCTCAGTTACCACACCAGGTTCGTGTGGGGGTGACACCCTCAGTTACCACACCAGGTTCGTCTGGGGGTGGCACCCTCAGTTACCACACCAGGTTCGTGTGGGGGTGGCACCCTCAGTTACCACACCAGGTTCGTGTGGGGGTGGCACCCTCAGTTACCACACCAGGTTCATGGGGGTGGGGGCGACACCCTCAGTTACCACACCAGGTTCGTGTGTGGGTGACACCCTCAGTTACCACACCAGGTTCATGGGGGTGACACCCTCAGTTACCACACCAGGTTCGTGTGGGGGTGGCACCCTCAGTTACCACACCAGGTTCATGGGGGTGGGGGCGACACCCTCAGTTACCACACCAGGTTCATGGGGGTGGGGGTGACACCCTCAGTTACCACACCAGGTTCATGGGGGTGGGGGTGACACCCTCAGTTACCACACCAGGTTCATGGGGGTGGGGGTGACACCCTCAGTTACCACACCAGGTTCATGGGGGTGGGGGTGACACCCTCAGTTACCACACCAGGTTCGTGTGTGGGTGACACCCTTGAAAGAAATCGGTCTGGTAGAAGTGGTCAAACTTTTGCTCGCTAGTATCCGCCTACGACGGATGATAGACAGAGAAATCCAGATGAATTCATTCTTATGGGTTTTTTATTTTCCTGAGAAATCGGAAATAGCGTTTTTATAAACCAGAAATAAAATAAAGTACACTTCCGGATATCGTTTGTCACTCAAATATTTAAAGTAACACAGGGAAAAGATCTTAGATAAGACATTTCGTTCACCTAAATGAAACAGCACTCGAGATACAGTGTGGCCGTAGAAAAATAGTAAAGTACCACTCCCTGTGACGAAAATCACTCAAAATTTGAGAGAAACCTGCGCATACTATGTAAGCTTTTTTGCGAAATTTCGTCCACCTAACGTAAACGGTACTCACGTTATTGGCTATTGAGAACCCGGAAGAAGTGTAAATACTACTTCCAGTACTGAAAATAGCTCAAAAGCTGTTAGTGAACTACCAGTTTGATGGTTCACCGTCAAATCGGCCCGTGACAAGACGACCCCGTCAAAGTTACCCATGCAAAGGGCCCCTACTTAATGGCTCCCGTCAAATGGACTCCTGTCATATTGACTCACGACATATATGCTCGCGACATATTGACTCCAAACACGTAAATCGTATGACCACCACTATTGGCATAGGCGTTACACTATAGGGCTTGTATGTCTACTGTCTCGAAATCTACTTGCTGACGAGAACGATAAGTTGTGACCTACTTACAAGCCCTATAACCTCTTTAAAATGTCTGAATGAAAAACTTTTTCATGAACGAACAGCAAATTTTATTTACAACAGTGAAGATTGGTTGCTTAAAAGCGACCACAAGTTTAAATGCATCATGTACATGATATGTGCACGATTTCATGATGTGTACATGATGTGTGCATGATATACGACGTTATGTTTTGACCACCTACACGTATACTGCAAATAAATGTGGACCTCTCTCCCCACGCACTAAACAGACCACAATCGACGCTATGGTTGAGTCATACCTTGATGACCCTTAAATTTATAACATTCTATTTCTTGTACAAGATAAAATATAAGGCCTGCCGAGCAATAGCTGAATACGTTGTATTGTTTAAGGGTGCTAACTCTAAAGAGTATTGGCGAAGAGGTCCCATTTGCAGGTGCCATATTCAATTTCACCGGAAAACTTGTCTCCACGCAAACATTATTGACAGGAACCCTTTTGTCGGTGCCAAAATGTCTGGAGCCAAAATAACGGAAGCCTATTCGTCGGAAGTCTTAATGAAGGGAGCGTATTTTGTCGGGAGCTTATTTGTCGGGAGCCTATTTGACTGCCCGTTTGTCGCTGGCCCTTTTGGCGGGCTCGATTTGACCTGGCTCTTATGTCGGGGTCAGGTTGAGAAGATCGCACAGGACTCTGCTGTGGATCTTTGGTTGGCGGCCAGAGATGAGATAACAAACGCCTTAAAAAAAGAATTATCTAGACTTCAGATTTGACTTAATAATTAAACTGTATCAAGTTTCAGAAAAATAGCTATAGTTTTTTTTAAATTTACTATTTTATAAAAATATTTTAATGAATTTCCGTACGGAATTTCCTTACAGAATCTAACAGATGTAGAAGCATTTATGCAGGGTGTCGTCTATAAATGACGTCATACTTCTGGGGGCAGGACGAGAGGAATTCAGATAGTTTAACGTCACAATTTTTTAGTTTAAAAAAAGTTGTACTAGAAACTGAATTTGAGCCGTTATGTCGCGTTTTAAAAATTATTTAAAAAAAAATTGAAATAGAAATAGAATAGATTAATATACTGTATGTTGACCGAGATCAGTCAATTGTTAGAAAGAAATTAAACTGCAATTTTGTGTGAAGGGGGGAGGGGGAGGGGAGAAGGCGTGGGTCGCAGTGTTTCTTCCAGGCATCCCCCTAAAAACGTCTACCGCCACCCCCAGAGTTTCTTCCAGGCATCTCTTCGGGGGGGGGGGGGGGGGGACAAAGCCCCCCCCCCCCACCCGAAATTTTTTACCGCCCCCCCCCCCCCCCCCCCGAACGGAATGAAATTTATATAATTTAATTTTGTATAGAAAATATATACTTTTAACAGTGTCCGCCCCACCCCCAGAGAAAGTTTACCGCCCCCCCCCCCCGAAAATTTCAAGTGCCCCCCCCCCCCCCCCCCGGAGAAAAAAGTCTGGAAGAAACACTGGCCACCCCCCTAAAACATTAGTCCCCCCCCCCCCCCCCCCGAGAAAAAAGGTCTGGAAGAAATACTGGTGGGTTATAGCTGTAGGCTGAGGTGTGACTTTTTTAGGGGGTGGGATGGGAGGGGTCTAGCCTTTTGTGACGATGTGTGACTATAGAGAAGGGTGAGGGGTAAACATTGTCAAAAAAAAGGTGACATCATAGATCTCGGCTGGGGATGGATGACCCGCAGCCGAGATCTACAGATTTTAGGAATACAATGTAGATCTAGGCCAAAAATTTTAGTCCGAGGGAATATGCACTCCCCTAGAATTCACATGTAGATCTATTTAGTCTATTACTATTAGACTTCATTCGCAAACGAATATCTAGTGATTTAAAAGTTTAAAAAGTAATGAAAATATTAATATTGCCTAGGCTTTTAGATTTAGGAGTTTAAAAAACAATAAAGTACCGTAGGCCTAAAGTGTCGCTAACGATTTACCAAGATAAGAAACGAACCGGGCCTAGATCTAGTTATTTGGGATTTTAAGATGGAAATATAGGTCAACGGACTCGGGTCGTTGATAAATGACGTCACGGTCATTTGAATGACTTTTTACACTAATTTTTTTATAGTTACCCTCTAGATTCTACTTGTTTGTTCGAATGTTTGTTTAAGCTCGAAATTTGCAAACATTATTTTTTCGATATTTAAAAAGTCGAAGAGTAAACAAAAATTACAAAAAGTTATTTTGTAAAGCTCATGTAAGTTTGTTCGAGTAGCTAATAGGAATAGAGCAGTGAAATACTAACTGGCCCACTTAAGCCTTCGCTGGATTGAGCACCTTACTTTTACTCAGCAGGTAAAATAAGTGCCTTTCTGCAATATATTTGCAGGTTAAAGGAAAATGGGGGGGGGGGGGGGGTGAAAGACGTTCAGAGGGGGGAGGTGTAACAAAAATAGTACGGAAATAAAACAGCGAATAAGCTATGGTTCTCCGTCTTGACGTCATGTTTTGCGATACTGCATCGTTACCTAACTGGAGTCCTGACCAATCAGCCAATCACGTTAGACCACATCGGGTTCACAAGTAATGGCGTAGAGATCACGGGCTGTACCATTTCATTGTTTTAAGGGTGTTCCGGTTTGCGAAAATGCTGAAAACCCAAATTTGCACCTCACATAGCTGTCTTTTAGGATTTCGAATGAACTCTCTTTAAATATAAGTGAATTATCTCGTCCTAGTCTTTCCTATGACTTCAACCATTCCGTACATATCACTTGGGATGTTCCTTCAGAGCTGACGCCCCTCTTTTCACTCTCTTTTACCTCACCTGTGTTAGGCGTGAGGTCTGTGTTCATTACCTATGCTGGAGGAAGGGGATTTCTTAGGAAGAAACGTGCATTTCTAATTTCATTTTTCGGATTTTAGTGTATTAAAAAGTTTGTCAAACGGGGATTTCAGTATAGGGGATTAAATTTGTTTTTTTTTCTTTAAAAAAACGGTGACACGAAATAACGTGTGCACCACCGCCATTTCACAATGGATATCTCTTTCACGAAAACGACCGAAGAAGTGTGTGCACACTTTGGTGTAGATGAAAACACAGGATTATCAGACGAACAAGTTAAAAGAAATACAGAAAAATATGGACCAAACGGTATGATTTTTGCGTAAAACTACACGAGTTTAGAATTTACATAACAAAAACATAATATCGAGATCTAGAATGTTCTCGGAGCTATTGGGTTGAGTCTAGAATCTTGATTCTAGATTTAGACTTGATCAATTCAGTAGATCTAGATCTAGGTCAATGAACTATGGCTGCCAACTAAAGTCTAGATCCAGATCTATTTCTAGATCTAGAAGTCTAGATACTAGATTTAGATCTAGACGTATAGATTAGGTCTAGACTAGATCCAAATAGATTTATAGATTCTAGAATCTAGAGTAAAGTGAAAAAAGTTCCCATTTCAGACTTAACCTTCCATAGATTCTAGACTCCAGAGGATCCAGGGCAGATGAAGTAGTTAGTAGTTTAGCATATGGAGGGTCAGCACCTCCCAACCGCCTTAACTACTAAATAACTAGTCTACTCTATTAGTCTACTACTAGATCTAGATCTAAATCTAGATATCTAGATCTATTACTAAACTTTTCTTAATGAATGAGAGACAGGAAGGCCTACTCAGCAGAGCTAGATCTATATACTTTATATAGACTACATTTCTAGATGGGTCTGGACCAAGAACTGAACTGGAGACTGCAGGGATAGCAGTGATAGTTAGGTGCACTGCCATTTAATAACCCCTCCGTCCTATAGATGAATGTAATCTAGATTTAAGAAATCTAGGTAGTTGATTAAAATTTTTGAAGTGACTACTCAGAAAAAGATTTTCCCCCAAGTGCTATCTGGCTGGCAAAAGATGCAAAGTGCAATGACCTAAATATCAACTAAATGGGCTCAAATTAACTCAATTTATTCTTCTATAGCTGCACAATGGGGTTCAATTACTATTTTAGCTTTATTCTTTTGACAAATCTATTTGTACAGTGCGGACAGGTCATCAGGGGTTGAGGGTTTATAGTATATAGTATAAACTGAGTTCTAGTCTCTACGTATAAAATATCTAAAAAAATATATTTTAATAGCCGAATTAAATATAGGCCTACTATTTAAGTATTTATCGTGTTAATCCCTGTCCCATTAAGACATAACATAGGCCAAAACAACAAACATGTAGATGACAAGAAAAACCAAGTAATTGTAGAGCTATGCGCATCTTTTTCGGTCTGGAATTTGTCTTAGATTTCAAATTCTGTATAAGCTTGAATCTAGGCTAATCGGATTTGGTATTTATTACCAAACAGTAACCTAGACAAAATAGCTTGTTCCTGCTGACAGGATGCTCTTAAAGTCTTTAATAGGTAGCGTTGACACAATTATTATTATTTTTTTGTGGTGGTGTCAAGAGTTCTACAGAATAGAAATATTACAGTAGGGATATGTTAAATTGCTATGGTGTACTATATTACTATGCAATTCAATAATGTGTCGTATTTGAACTAGTTAATATTTGAAGATAGTTCTATCGCCCACATTGACAAATACTGCTGGCAAAGCATATGAGTCGGGTGTGTCTTGACCTCTGCCAAACCCTTCAGGCTAACTCACCAATCCCTAGGGTTTGATTGAATCCATGTTAAGAACCGCTGATCTAGATCTATATTCTATCTGAATTGTACTAAAACTAAACTTCAATCATCAGTTAAAGTCATCGCTGTTCACTGTTAATATAAGTTAAAACACTAACCTTAAAACTTTTATCAGTTTGTGGTATATATACAATTTTCTTAACATTCATCTAGTTTTTAATTGCATTACCTCAAAAATATAGGTAGTAACATTTCTCCCTCAATCTACGTAGATTTTAGCTTTTATTGAACTGGGCCTATTTGAATAAAAGTACTAGAAGCTATACATTTTTGGAATAGACCTAAGGATTTCACTTAAAGAATGATGTAGCTATCTTTCTACATTATTTCACTGTTTTATCCATAGTCAAAGAACTTTAAAATTATCATTTTTCATATTACTGAATGTTTGTTTTGTTTGTTTCACGATTTTTTCAAATCAGATTTCATAATTTAGTTTTTTTTTTTACTCCATGGTTTTCAAAGATAAATTATTGTTTGTAATGTTTTTCTACATTTGGATCATTATTAACTTTTAGTTGTTGCTATCTTTGAACTTTTTATCTTATGACTACCTAGTAAATTTCAGAACCTTTTTAATAAAAGGAACACATTCTGTTAGCTCTAAAAATTGTTAAAGCTTTAAATCTATTCATTTGCATACATTTAAACAAGCAGCCTTCAAAATGACTACGTCAAGAAAATAATTCTTTTTTCTTCATTTTTACTTTCTCGTATATACAAAGTATAAAGTCTTGTAATCATGCAAAAAAAATAATCGAGATTTTGCAAATCTTGACGAGCTCCCTTAGTCTGAAAAACATAGTTTTGCAATCTTGTCCGTGTGTGTGTGTAAACACGATAACTTGAGTACCGTTACAGCTAGTTTGATGAAATTTCTAATATAAGTATTATATTAAAATAGTAGATCCGTATCAACTTTTCAGAGAATTCCGATAAACGGAAGTGGAACTTTTTCTACTTTAAATTTTTCAAAAGCCTATAACTTGAGTACTATTTCAGATAGATAAATGATATTTCACATGTAAGTAAAAGATCTAGTTCTCTGCCTTCTTTCAAATTTTGAGTAATTTCCGTTGACCGGAAGTAGTAATTTTTTGTTATTTCCGATTTCTCAAAAAACGTGAATTTATAAAGTACTAATAATATCCCGCACTTTTATGCACATTTTATTTGCCGTTCACTTGGTGTGCAATTCTTTTTTCTTCCAGACTCTATTCTATTATAAATAGTTTGTAATTAAAAATGGATTATAAATATTTTCTGTGTCCCGAGTTGCCATCTGCCATAGTGTTATATTACAATATTCAAGAAAGTTTAGGTGAGATCACTCCCGGTTTATTAATTTTAGTGTTGGAACATCATTAAGTATGTGTCAACTGGTTATGTGCCATTGAGGCTATTGACTCCAATTTCTGCCTACTTTTCTTTTTGGATTTGCTTCCATAGCCTTGTCCAACCAAGAACAAACTACAAGGCAGCAGTTATTCGATTTTGGAGTTGCCGCTCCTAGTAGAGTGGCTGTCCCCGGCTATCAAGCCTCATCTGCCAGAGGGTTCGAACTCTAGACTTTTCAGTTTAGCAACCATGAGCTTTACAGACTTGACCATGCCGACCCCTAGAAAAATAATTAACTTATCTTCCCTATGGTCTTTTTGGTCTGAATGGGAACACCACATTTTCCTATAACATATGACTGCTATTCTGAGTATCAAGTTAGATCCTGGGCTAGTCTGTAAAACACCCATAGGCTACCCAGCTCTGATGGTTACCTGATTATTAGGGAAAGTAGAGGTGGTGGGCATAATGCTGACCACACAGGGTCACCAAAAACAGATTTTTACTTCATCTGCCCTATAACCTATTGCCTAAAGAATAGAACTTTTCCTAATGTCATATTTTCAATTATTCATATTATTATCATATGTCATTAACAAAATGTGGGGAAAAATTTTCTTACAATTTTGTTGTTCTGAAAAGGATTTTCTTCGTTAATTTTTAATTGCTTTTTTCACTTTCCTTTGTTGGTGTAGTTTATCCACTAGTGCTCAGATGCAGCTACTATTGTTCCCTCTAGGATCATTTTTAGAACTCAGATTTTTAATTTGGGACAACAATATCTTAAAAAATCCTTACTTAAGACCGTGTTTAATATCCCAAATGTGTGGTACTCACAATACTCATTACATTTGACAGCATATTTTATATTGGAAATAGCTTAATTTATAGTCCTGATGTTCTTGCTACATGACTTTAAAAATGTTGGCATAATCAAGACCATCTAGGCTAGTTTGAATTAAAAAAAAATTATACAATGTAGATATAGTTCTAATTTGCCATTGCAATGGCTGTAACTGTAACAAAAATTTAGATCAATTCAGATTGATTTTAGTGGCTATGGTACAAGTCTATACTCAAAATGGAGTTAAATATTTGAAGTTTTTGCAGTGTAATTTAATTGTGAATTTAAATACTTATTTTTTTTTTTTTTTGCTGTACACATTCTGCGTATTAGTTTTTATCAATAATGTATAGTAACCATTCATACTTCATAAATAAAGCCAAAATGATTTTCTTGTTTGTACATTTACAAGTTATTTTATACTTTTGAAAGTAGTCTCTTAGAGAATAATAGTAATACTTTAAAACTTTGGTAATTTTAGCTCAAATGCTTGAACTTTAAAACTTAAAAACAGTATTTATGTCTAATAGTTTAAGATGTAAAAATTACTTTCATTTACAATTTTCTAATTTTAACAATGCAAGCTTGTTTTATTCAAATTTGCAAAAAAACCATTAATCACGTACATATTTGGATCAATAAAATTAGTTCTATTTACATTTAGAAAACGGATAAGTCAGTGTTAAAAACGTTATCAAATTTTCAACTAACAGGATGTAAATAACAATGAATTTTAAAAAAAAAGATTTTGCAAATAATTCCTGTTGTAAAAAAAATTCTCACCACAGCTCACTTTAACTTTTATTTTCATTTTGAGAATGTTAAAATTACTCCATACACCATTTTTATATATACTGTATTGTATACTAAGCATTAAGATAGACAATAGAATTTTTATGTACAACCAACTTACACATTTTATTTTTATTTTTTCAGAGCTCCCAGCTGAAGAAGGTGTGTATAATTATTTTATTAAAGTGAAAATGTAATATTCTATTAGTAAAAGCCATCATGAAATGCTCTATCTGTGGAAGTGCTTATATCAGTCAACAGGCGATGAAATGAAGAACATGCGCATTTTGGCCAACACTTATCTCTGTCTTGGTTTTATTTAGAGGCATACATATTAAAATTTTTGACAGCAGGTTTGGCTGATTTTACATTCATAATACTATATTTTGTGGTTCATTTTGAGTACTGACAGAATGAAGAGTACAGAGGCTTTCAAGAAGATGGAATAGATCTTTTATTTTTATGGTCTAAATGTCATTAATAATATAATTTTTTAACATATCAAATTAGGATAGGGATTAGGATTATGGTAAGAAAATAATATTGATTTTTATTAAGAATTTTAACTGAATCAATAAAATTAGCAAATTTTGATGCATTACTGTTAGAGGTTATAACCACTTAGTTTATTTCTTAGCCAACCCATTGACCAAAATAAGTATGTTGCTCATCTGTTGTCCGCATTAAGCACTATCCTCTCTGTAGTATGTTGGTTTGCTAAATCTACCATGCCAATTTTTTTCTTACTATACTTAGAATAGTTAATCAATTGAGATGACAGTTTAATTAATTTATTATAACAAGCAGTTCTTTAAAGCAAATAAATCCCCAATAATCATTTGAATTTTGTTTATTAATTATACAGAAAAAAACCCATTAAGCAGTTTTTTGGCCAATGAAAATGCGCTTGAGTAAATCTCTGTCACACAAGTTATGTTTTTTATGTTACACATTGTATAGGTTTAAGAGTAGGTCAAAATATCATATTGTTACATTATCTGAGCATGATTCCCAAAATGTTGTGTCTTAATATACCAAGCATAATGATTCTGTCCTCAGGAAAGCCTCTTTGGGAGCTTATATTGGAACAGTTTGATGATCTTCTAGTTAAGATTTTACTTCTTGCTGCTATTATTTCTTTTGTGAGTATACTTGTGTTATCATCCTCAGCATTCCTTACACAGATGCCCATTTTGAATAAGAAAAAACATTTGATTGTTTAAAATTTAAAATGTCTTATTAAAAGAAAGTTGTCTTAATGTCAGTTGCATTTCCTAACTGTACCAGATGGCTTTTTTTTTTAAACGAGATTTTTCTTAAGTCACAATGCTTGTTTGTTGTTGGATTTGTAAGTTAAATATCAGTATAACAAAACTGGTCTTGAATTATTTGTTTAGAAGACAGTTTGATTCTATTCTCAGTAAAATGTAACTATTTGAATGTTTTTTTTTTAACTTAACTAGTCTGTTATATTGTGGTGGTCAAACTCTTTCACTTAGCAGCATGTACTTTACCATGCCATCCAATAGGTTTAAACAATGCTGTTAGAAACACTGAGAAGTACAACTTCTGTCTTCTACAAATACTGCGTCTAACTTTTTAATAGTTTGTGTTCTGTAAATGATTCAGTATCATTTCAACAGTTATTTCTATAACACAATTAGCCATTTATTTGTAAACTACCAGTAAATTTAAATTATACAAATGATTAGTGTCCTAAGCCATTTTGCAATTATCTGCGTATAGTGAGGCCTTACTAGCTATGTCAAAAATACATTTATTTTATATTGAGGTGTAGAAAATATACATCAGTACAATCTAGCAATCAAACTATTGATTTCCATGAATTCTTCATATACACGAAGTGTACAACATGGATTTTAAATTTACAACAATTTATTCTTGCTGGTTATTCCTGTTGCAAAAAATGCTTGAACCAACATACAGTTAATGCTGAATATGAGTCTAGTTAATCGTTATTCAACCTTATCATAATAAACCATGTTAATTGTGACTTTACTAAGGCTACTCAAATTTGAAAATCTGTTGCTGCTCTAAATCAGAATTAAATTTATAAAAAGCTATGCAGCAAAAGTTAAAAGTATCTTCATGTTTGCTGAAGTGCTTGTCTTGTGTCCCATATTGCAATTTTTAAAGCATAGCTCTCCCCCTAATCAAATAAAGAGTTGTCTAAATAATTTTAGCTGGTCATTAGCTTTAGTTAAAACAATGACTTCAGAGAAGATTAACTTTGACTGTTAGTAATATGATGGACATTAAGGGAACAAATAATACACAGGAAGATGTCTTTTCTTTTTTTTTTAATGAAGTTAACAATTTAAAAAAAAACAATTTTCATTAGATAAAAATCAGAACTGAATGTATTAGAATTTTTAACAGACAAGCTAAACTCAGCTATTAGGTGTACACTATAGAATGTTATCTTTCCTTCAGGTTTTAGCTTGGTTTGAAGAAACAGAGGAACAAGTAACAGCCTTTGTTGAACCCTTTGTCATTCTAACTATTTTGATATTAAATGCAGTTGTGGGAGTCTGGCAGGTAAAGCTATGCAACTTTTTTCTAAATATAACAATCATTAATAATTAAATGATGCAACTCACCCATTAGCTAGATGCTTATTGTTTTCTTTTTGTTGCTTTTAGGAACGTAATGCTGAAAGTGCCATTGAAGCATTGAAAGAGTATGAGCCTGAAATAGCTAAAGTAATCCGTAGCAGCTCTAAGGGTGTGCAGAAAATCCGGGCTAGCAAGCTTGTGCCTGGAGACATTGTTGAAGTCTCAGGTAATTGCCAGTTTGTCCCATTTTAAAATATATATTCAGTGTGTGCTTAGTAACTTCAGATTTGACAATTTTCCTCTTTTTTTTTTGTTTGTTGTTGTAATAGTTGGTGATAAAGTCCCTGCAGATATTCGCCTTCTCAAAATCCATTCCACAACATTGAGAGTTGATCAGGCCATTCTTACTGGTGAAAGTGTGAGTGTTTTGAAGCACACTGAACCCATCCCTGACACCAGGGCTGTCAATCAAGACAAAAAGAACATCCTCTTTTCTGTGAGTAACTTTATCTTTTGTCATACACAATTTGTTTTATAATTCTCTTCATGGGGACCTTGCGGGACACCACCACCAAGATTTAAGCGCGCCTAGCAGCCCCCTCTCTAAGCATATCAATACCACCCCCACCGGTCTGGTGAGCTGTGGTTCACGCTAAATGTTTACAATCGTAGTGGCGGCTATTAGGGGCAGATAATTTAGTTTGAAACAATTTTAAACTTAGGGTAGGTAACTAAGAGGAGGCTGCTTTTGGGGGGGGGGGGAATTATCATCCTTAACTAGCTACTGATAGTGTTTTAAAGCAAATATTTTCAGTGGCAGCATTGGTCGTGCCGAATTCGCAAATTATGAATTACTGAAAAGTAGAAAATAAAACAACTAAATAGCGGCGTAAGCTAAGCAGCAGGTCTGCTCATTTGTTTTGTTTAAAAGTAAGCTACTCGTTTGGAATTGGTGGTCCAAATGGCATATGTAGAGTTACCCTAATCCTAACCATATAAAGGGATAGTGTGGTCAGTATTATTTCCAGTTTTCCTCTTTTTCCCGATTACAAGTCCAGGTACCAATCAAGCTGGGTGGACTAGGGGCTTCTTACCAACTTGAATGAGGAAGTTATCTCTACAATTTCAGGCTTGCTGTTGTGTGCATTACCTTCATGACATCCCTTGGTTTTATTGTTTCATTATATTGAGTACACATTTTTTCTCAGGGTACTAACATTGCCACAGGAAAATGCAGAGGAATTGTTATTGGAACAGGTCTAGCCACAGAAATAGGTGAGTTAATTAAGACAATTGTTCAGTGATATCCTTTGTATAAATATTAAATACAGGTCCTTATCAGAATGATTAAAATTCAACAGGCTTTGTGCATTGGGTTTTCAATTATACTTTAGATCCTTTTAGCCTTGGTGTTAAAATATTTCATTATTATCTTGAAGTACATTTCAGCTTTATTAAATTTTAAGTTAGGGGTAAAAAATATTTCAGCCTACATTATTTTAGCCTCAGTGTAATATTATACCTTGTCTTATTTTAAATGTGTGCTGTTCAATATGTATTGTGCTTTGAGATTACTGTTTAATTGTCCACTTAAGTTTCCTGATTAAGTAGGAAATTGGCTGATATAGAGGCTGGATTCTTTGGACATTTCTGCGTTTTTAAATATAACTAAATTGTATCTAGTGACATCTGCTTGACTGGGTGCAATTTTTAAAATTGTTTTTTCTTTTATAATACCCCTATAATTGAAAGAAGTGTGAATTTTTGTTGCATTAGTTTAATTTTAGTATTTTTTAAATGGTATAAGTGACATGGTTCTTACTCATACACATTCTAGATTTTACTTTATAAAACAAACAAAAACTATGAGTCATATTGAAAACAAATTATTTCAGGAAAAATTCGAAACGAAATGATGGAAACCGAGACAGAGAAAACCCCCCTCCAGCAGAAACTTGATGAGTTCAGTAATCAGCTCTCAAAGGTTAGTCTGATATCATTAGCATTGATATCTATTATATAAAGATAAGTGGAGTCGGTGTGTTAATCAAACCTAAATTAGATCTGGTACTTCCAGGTAAGGTTGTGAGAAGTCTTCCCACTGGGAATCATTCATAAAAACAGTACGATTTTACAGTTGGAAATGCATCACTTAGAATTTCAGTTGTATTACTGATTCTATTTTTTGTTTTATAATCTTGCGAGGATCTAGCTAAACCCTAACATTACCTTATGTTTAGGTTTAGCTTGATTGTTAAAATTAAATGAAGAATCAATTTTAGTCAGTAGGTGGTAATGTCCTGCTTTCGATATTTGATATTGCTATTTATAGCTTGAACCAATCCTAATGTTGACTATGCTTACCATTTATATGCTGTTATTATTTGCTGCATATTTAATAAACTCCCTTTTCCTGCTTTAGGTCATCACCATCATTTGTGTTGCTGTGTGGGCCATCAACATTGGGCATTTCAATGACCCTGCTCATGGTGGATCCTGGATGAAGGTTTGTCTTGTGATGACTAGCCAATACAACTTAGTTTAATACATATTTGAGCAGTTAAAAGGTAGTTAAAGCTAAACTTGTGACTATCAGCTGTGATCAATTTTATCATCCTCAGGGAGCTATATATTATTTCAAGATTGCTGTAGCTTTGGCAGTGGCTGCTATTCCTGAGGGTCTTCCTGCTGTTATCACAACTTGTTTGGCTTTGGGTAGGTTTGTTAATGTTTTTAGAACAAATGAGATTTTCCAGGTTCTATTCTTTGCATCAAGCTCACAATTATCTCAAGTCAAAGTGATGTTCCAGATTTTTTATGGATATTAGAATTTTCCGTATGAGCTCCATTTTCCTCTGCTAATTTAATTTTCTCCAGATTTTTCTTCCAATTTTTGTCAATTTTTAATAAAGTGTATTCCACACATTCCTATTTAAATATAATATTACACTTGGCCTACAGATACCAGATTTAGGTCAAGATTTTTTAAATGCTATTGTTCATTTCTCCCTTGTCACTCAAACATATGATCAATGACACACATTTTTGTTAATTGGACTATTACGCTAAATTTGACACATCTGACGGTACTAGATGAAGATTATAAAACTAGGCCAAGATTCATTCAGGAATGTGACTTTACCGAATTTTTGCATATTTTAGATGTTCCACCATTTAAGTTTAATATTTCCATACAAAAAAAATGAAAATGTGGTGTTCCCATTCAGACCAAAAAGACCATAGGGAAGATAAGTTAATTATTTTTCTAGGGGTCGGCATGGTCAAGTCTGTAAAGCTCATGGTTGCTAAACAAAAAGTCTAGAGTTCGAACCCTCTGGCAGATGAGGCTTGATAGCCGGGGACAGCAACTCTTCTAGAAGAGACAACTCCAAAATCAAACAACTGCTGCCTTGTAGTTTGTTCTTGGTTGGACAAGGCTATGGAAGCAAATCCAAAAAGAAAAGTAGGCCGAAATCGCCTCAGTGGCGCATAACCAGTTGACACATATAATTTCGTTGGAAGGGATCCCTTCAAACACTAAAATTAAGAACGAAGAAGAAGATACAAAAAAAAAAAAAATCAGAAAAAAGTAATCTAAAATGTTGCCTTTCTTGAAACAAAACTTTCTCGAATATTCTTAAATAACACTATGGGGATGGCAACTTGGGATATAGACATGATTTTTAATCAGCTTTTACATGCTAAACTTTTTAAAAATAAAATAGAATCTTGTAGAAAAAAGAATTGTGCACCAAGTGAATGGCAAACAATATGTGTATAATAGTGTGGAATACTAGTATTTTATAAATTCATATGCGTTTTTTTTTTTTTTTTTTTTTTTTGAGAAATCGGAAATAGCATAAATTATTATTTCCGGTCAATGAAAATTACTCAAAATTTGACAGAAGGCAGATAATTAGATCTTTTACTTATATGTGAAATTTCGTTTATCTATGTGAAGCAGTACTCCAGTTTTAGGCTTTTGAAAAACCAAAAGTAGAACAAGTTCCACTTTCGGTTACCGGAAATAACTGAAAAGTTGATACAAAACTACAAATTTGATATATAATGCTTGTATATGAAATTTCATAAACCTGACTGTAACGGTATTCAAGCTATTTTGTTCACAGACATACACACACACAGACATACGGACAAAATTGTAAAACTTGTTTTTTTTTTTTTTTCTGACTCACAGAGATGTAAAACGTCGAGATTTGTGAAAATCGCAATTTCTATCTTTTGCGCGATTACAATACTTCCTCTATGCTTAATGTGCGAGAAAGTAAAAATACAGTTAATCTGGCATGCCTGTTAGCCTAGTAATAGCCTAATTTATCTCCCGGTATTTAAACACTCTGTTTTTAAAGCTACCCAAATCAACAGTTTCTCTCTGCCTCCATTATATTTGGCAACCATCAAATTAATACACAAGTCCTTGCATAAAGGTGACTATGAAGACTAGACTAACCCGCCTCTTCAAGTGGCAATGGTAGCTCATGTGACCTCATAATGACCTCAACATGACCCCAACTATGACTTGTTTGTGGAAAAATAATATACCACCCTGACTATTTTGAATTACCATCTACTGCTATTCTAAAAGCATAAATGTTGAATATTGATTTTTCTTGGCTATCACAATGGTATTAATGGCTCAAATGATTTTACAACTAATTCCAAAACAATTTTTTAAATACACATCAGATCCTTTCTAATTTGAGCTAATCTGGTTGATTTCATTTTCCTTCTCATGAACTGAAGCTTCAAGTTACAATTGATCTAGATCTAGGCTCTTTACTGTTAAAAGCTTACATTATTTACCATGCCTATCTTTGAGAATATAAGGTATAATTTAAAACGAGTCCAAGCGACCATTACAGCTGAATGTTAAAATAAAATTTCAGTTCCACTTTTGTTATATCATACAATTTAATTTTTTTTTTAAAGTTGTTTTTGAGGTAAACATTAAATTATAATTAGGTCTTCTTTGTTACTTTAGAGTAATGTAAACTTCTTTAATTTAAAATATTTAGCTATATTTAACTATTAATTAGTACAATAACAGAGTGACACTACTTCAACTACTATAAAACATCAAGTTCTTGTCTGGAAAAAAATTCCCATTTTTTCATTGTCTTTGTAATTTTAATGAGATTAATAAATATTTGCTTAAAAAAAAATCTGTATAAATTGTCAACATACATTTAATCAATAATTTTACAGAATTGACCTGATAATAATTATTAAAATAATGCAATTCAACTGGTGTATGATGGTCTTAGCCACTCCTCCACTGGGAATAGGTTTATGTATTTTGTTTTCATGAATGAGACAGCTGTTTATGTACATTTTAGCTTTTTTTTTACTGCTTGTTCTTTAAGAGACTGCTATGCTTAAAGTTGATTGTTGTTTTACTAACCCTAACATTGTCTCATTGATAAAATATGTCCATGACAGACATTTTTAGTTTTTGAATTGCTAAAAACATTAGGTGATTAAGAGGTGATTTTAGGGGATATAATTTTTGATCAGCTGATTATAGTGATTTTATTTTTTCTTAATGGATTAAAGTTGGTCCTGTTGAACACTGGCTGGTGTAGGATAAATGTATTTAGTAAAGAATGTAAGACACAACTGTATCATGGTAAAACTTATGATTCCAGGTACCCGCAGGATGGCTAAAAAGAATGCTATTGTCAGATCCCTTCCCTCTGTTGAAACCCTTGGTTGCACTTCTGTCATTTGCTCTGATAAGACTGGAACACTGACTACAAACCAAATGTCAGTATGCAAGGTAGGTTTCCATAGTTTTTATCTTGGCTAAAAGTTGTCAACCCAGTTAAATAGTGGATTAACTCAGGAATGTCTTCTTTCAGATGTTTATTTTCAGCCAAGTGGAAGCTAACACCATTAAGACACAGCAGTTTGACATCACTGGTTCAACCTATGCCCCAGAAGGAGAATTGTATGTAGATTTTTATGTGTAATGTATCTTAAAAAAAGAAGCTTATGAATATCAATAGGAAGTATGTTCCAAAACAATGTACTCTTTTATAGGTTGATCAACAACAAAGTTGTTAAATCCAGTGACTTCCCTGGACTTGAGGAGATTGTTACCATTTGTTCTATGTGTAATGACTCCAGTGTAGATTATAATGATGTAAGTTTTCATTCATCAAATTAAAATAGGAAAGTTAATTATATATTTGTAATAAATGCAGATGTGTCACTTTCAGTTATCTGTTGGTTTTTTTTGTGCATTTTCATGCCGTCTCATTAAATTAGCGCTGATATTTGTCTTTGAATTGAAACTTGTATACCATTTTTAAAATGTTTCCTTAAAATGTTTCAAAAAAAGCCTCTCCTCCCACATACATGCTATCAAAGGTGAACCCCCATACCTAGTCACAATATTTTAACACCCCTGTTTTTTGTGTGTCTTTTATTTCTGTACATTTCTTTTTGTTGTGTCTTTTAGACCAAAGATATCTATGAGAAAGTTGGTGAAGCCACTGAGACATCACTGACAGTGCTTGTGGAAAAACTGAACTTCTATAACACAGACAAATCAGGCTTGACAAAACGGGAAAAGGGAACAGTTTGCAATCATGTCATTCAGGATATGTGGAAGAAAGAGTTCACTTTAGAGTTTTCTCGTGATCGCAAATCCATGTCAGTTTACTGTGTGCCCAACAAACCAGCTAAGACTCCAGGTGGTGCTCGCATGTTTGCAAAGGTACATGGCATTTTTTATTTCAAGCATATTATCAGGCCCAAACTATTTTCAAAGATCATTTTAGCATTTTAAAAAATCAGCTGCTGTACTTAACATTTAAAATGAATCTTTACAGGGTGCCCCAGAAGGACTTCTAGATAGATGCACACATGTTCGTGTTGGGGCAAACAAAGTCCCTATGTCCCCTGCTATTAAAAATGAGATTATGAAACTTACTAAGCTATATGGAACAGGTAAACAAACATGTAGTACAGTGGCATATATATGTAATACTCCGAAAGATTAACACAAACGGCAAGCAGGCAATAGCTGTAATAACATGAGACCTCTTTAATTTTTGTGGAGGGAGGGGGTTGTATTTTATCTTGATCCTTAATACTTACATAACAGTAATGTATAGTTCTATTCACTTATGGATTAAACTAATCCAGTTTTCAAACATCTTAAAATAACTACTCAAACAAGCTGTGTATATATTTTCTATGTTGAAATAAGATGCTTTACTAAAATATCATTCAAAGATGTTTTTAGCTCTTTTAAAAATAACTAATTGGGTAGTAATTAACACCTGGTTGTGCAATTTTTTGTAACACTAATAATTTTTTTTTACTTATGTATACTGCAGAATAACAATCTAATGCGGTTTAAATCTATTTAAGGTCGGGACACCCTTCGTTGTCTAGCTCTTGCAACTATTGATAACCCACCAAGAAGAGAAGACATGGATTTGGAAGATGCAAGAAAATTCATCCAATATGAGGTTTCCTGTTCTGTCATGTACTGTGTATCTTTAAAAACATTAACTCAATGTGGAACTGGCTGTTGACAGACAACAGTGAATCTTTGTAAATTTAGTTGTTGATCAGATTAAAAGACGAGTTGGGGACAAAGACTACTAGGTGGTTAATCCTAAAAGGATGTGGTTTTAAATAACCAAACTCTGCGACTGTCGCTGTTAGAGGGAGTAAGGTACTGAAATGTGTAAATGTCTTAAATGGATGGCATGACCACTTATCAAAGACACTTTATTTCAGACAAACATGACGTTTGTAGGTGTAGTTGGCATGTTGGACCCTCCTCGCGAGGAAGTGAAGTACTCAATCAAAGCCTGCCGTGATGCTGGTATTAGAGTGATTGTCATCACTGGTGACAACAAGGTCAATTTTGTTGTTTATCACATTAAGTTTTAAAACTAAACTAAATTTAATGATGGAATAAAATTAAGCCAAAAACTACTTTTCTGAATTTCTCGCTGAGTTTAATACATGTCTTTTTATTCAGGCTACTGCAGAAGCTATTTGTCGTAGAATTGGTGTTTTCGGCGAGAATGAGTCAACTGAAGGCATGTCCTATACTGGTCGAGAGTTTGATGACTTAAGTGTTGAAGATCAAAGAGCAGCTGTTATGAGAGCTCGCTTGTTTGCTCGTGTGGAACCAGCTCACAAAAGTAAAATTGTAGAATTCTTGCAAGGAGAAGGAGAAATTTCGGCCATGGTAAAAACTTTATGACTTTAAACAAACTTTTTATAAGTATTAGAGCATTTCTCCCCCAGTCATCAGGAAAGTGAATAAATTACATCTTAAATAGTGTTTAGTTTAACATAAATCAATAAACCAATGATTGTTGTGACAGCTTTATTATATCAGTGAATTCCATCTTTAAATATACTTGCTCTTCCTGCACATCAAGTTATTATTCATTAAATAAAATTATCAGCACTATCATTTATTTTCTTGTAAACTATACATGTTCCCATCATAACTTAGTCTACGGGCATGCATAAACATACTCCAAAGTGCTGCAGCTATGTAAAAAATCTGAGAACGTATGACCAAACATTAAAAAATTCAGAAAATTTAATCAATCTTCAATATCCATGGCAAAAAATACTGTATAAAATAATCTTTAAATGGTAGAAACAGAAGTACAATGTTTAAAAATATGGCATTTGGCTATCAGGACTAAGCATTAAAGGCAGTAGTTGGAGACTTAAGATATGAGATTAAAGAGCTAAAAAATTGAAATAAGGATGTTGTTTTACTCAATATTGATGTTTGTTTCAAATAATAAAGGTGTTTCATTTTACAGACAGGTGATGGTGTGAATGATGCTCCAGCCCTGAAAAAGGCAGAAATTGGTATTGCCATGGGTTCAGGAACTGCCGTAGCTAAAAGTGCAGCTGATATCCTTTTTTCTTTGCAAATTATTTTATATGTGCTAAATCACTAACAAAAGGTCAAGCACTATTTTTAGAAGCCATATTTTTAGCATGCTGGTGAGTTACTGTCCTAACTCCAACCCTAACCATACAGTTATACAAGCACAATCTAACTCTAGCCTCAATCATACAGTTATACAAGCACAATCTAACTCTAGCCTCAATCATACAGTTATACAAGCACAATCTAACTCTAGCCTCAATCATACAGTTATACAAGCATAATCTTTAATTATAGATCTTATCAATTGAATATGTGATCTCCCTTAAACTTTCTCATATATACTTTTATAACACAACTGGGAATGGCAACTAGGAATATAGACATTATTTTTAATCAATTTTTAATTACTTAAACTTTAAAAATATGTGAATCCATCTGAAACAATACTCAAGTTATATGCTTTGAAAAACCAAAAATAAAATAAGTTCCACTTCTGGTTACTAGATATAGCTGAAAGATCTAATTAAAATGCTTCTGCCATTAAATCGGACTTTATTTATAATGTAAATATTAAAAAAGAAAGTAGCTCCAATGCCTATGTTGAATTTTTATTTAGCATTTAAAATAATAAAAAATCGTAGAAATAAAATTAGAAGCAGTGTTTCCACCCCATTTTGTTTATGTTTTTCTGGGATTAATGTTATTTTTAATAATTATTAGTAAATTATTAAGCTATTTAACCTCATGCTTAATAAACTTGGACCAGTTTTGTTTATATTGCTTTTTACTTTTTTTAACGTAAGTAGGGTTTTTAAAAAATATTTTTTACAAAGTGCTGTCTTTTCTGTGACTGTAGGAGACGTAAAATAGTTTTGATTCACAAGCGGATAAAGTTCTTAACACACAGCCCCCCTACCCCAAGCTTGATCAATGAGTATAATGATAATTTTCCTTGACCAAAGTGTACAGATGGTGTTGGCTGATGACAACTTTGCCACTATCGTATCTGCTGTAGAGGAGGGGCGAGCCATCTACAATAACATGAAACAGTTTATCAGATACCTCATTTCTTCCAATATTGGTGAGGTTGTCTGGTAAGTTATCACTTAAAATCAGTTCATGAATGCACTCATAATAAGAATAGTATAACTGCTAAGAAATTGTAATAACTTTTTATTTTATTATGATATTCAACTTTAATTATCACCAGCATATTCCTGACTGCTGCTTTGGGTATTCCTGAAGCCCTTATTCCTGTTCAACTTTTATGGGTTAACTTGGTAACAGATGGTATGCCTGCCACAGCACTTGGATTTAATCCCCCTGATCTGGACATCATGAAGAAACCACCCAGGTCACCAAAGGAGGGTCTAATTACTGGCTGGCTATTCTTCAGATACATGGCTATTGGCAGTGAGTAAACTCTTATTTGGCTTAAGGGCAAATATACTTCCAGCGAGATGAAACCCGCTTTTTCCATTTGAGATCAATTTTCTGCCCCCAAAAAAAAAATATTTTTCCGCTGACCAAATTTTTCCCCTAAAACATCAATTTTTTCAGCCTATCCATTTTTCCAAAACTTTAAAATAAAAAGACTAATTTACTTGAAGACCTAATTCATGAAACCAAAGTGTTGAGACCAGGGTTCATGGAAAGTCTTGAATTTTCTCCATTTCAGGAAAAAATTGTCTGCCAATCCTCTATATAATTAGTAAAATAAAAAACGGTCAGGAAACCTTTGCAGGGTTCCCGCGGCCTCCTGAAATTCCAGGATGTCCTGGAATTTAAAAAAAACAGAATATATATATATATATATATATATATATGTTACGGTCAAAGCCCGAAGTGCGGCCAAAGCGCGGATTGGCCGGCCAATCCAAGCATTGGCCGGCTCTCTTGGCCAAAGCCCGAAGAACTTAGCACTAAGATTGTATTTCGTACATTGGCCGGCCAATGCGCGCACTGGCCGGGACGTACTGGCCAATGTTCTATCTAGACTAAGTTGTGATTGCATTTTCATTATTCTGGGTGCGTTTTCATTGAGAGTAACGTATTGTTTAGCTCTTGTTTGTATAGCATTCTATATGCAAGGCGACATGGATCAAAAGGGCCGTCAGACCATGAGACAGACATAGCAGATGGCTGTCTAAAGAGAAAAATGTAAATCCATGTTAGTTTCCATATATGGGCTCTTGATAAAATAGTTACTGAGGAAAATCTTGAGAACATTGAGCAAGAAATGGGGGTTGCCATAAGCGCAACGACATCCTCAGCTAACACATCTGCTGCTGTGGCTGAATGTCCAGGCCAGTTGCGTGACAATAATGAGGCCAACAGATTCTGTATAGTTTGTGAAATACATTGTAGTGCAGCCCATTCTTGTGGATCCTGTGGCAACTATGTCCATGCATTTGTGGAATACCCAATGAAGCAGACGAAGGGTACGGAGGGAACATTACCTGCAGATTGTGTCACAACAAACAAGACATCATGGAACACAGATCAGCAGCACATACTGGCTTGCAAACTCAAGGTGCTAAGATGCTTAAAACATCAAATACAAAATTTAAAGATGGTGAAGTGGGTGACAATTTTCCATATGTTAACAGGTGTCACGGTAATCCCCGAAGCGTGATTGCGGTTGTCATGAGCGTCGAGGGCGGTTTCTACAAATTAGGAACGGAACATGGTGTTCTAAAACAACTGTATGCTAGAAGTGAGTTTTCAATTCTTCACGAAAAACTGCTCTTATTGTCGTCAGTTGGCACTGAGGAAAAATCACTACGAACCATCGCATCTTCACAATCATTGACTGGGGGGGCCAAGGCTACGCTCGCTGCAATTGCACAACAAAGTGCACAACGAATCGCTGCAAGTGTAAAAATAACAAGCTGCTATGTAATTCTAAATGCCATAAAAGTTCAACTTGTTGTAACAAATGATGATATTGATAGATTGAGACTATAATACAATAAAAAATTTGAATTTTATCGAGAGCCTCTCTTGGTAGATTTGAAGTGCTAAGTCCCACTTTTGCTTTGCATATCCTAACAAGGCTTCGTATGGCGATTGTTGGATTCCTTGGTGAAAAGAATGATTTTTCATAAAATGAATGAATTTGAGACTCTCAGCCCAATGAGCTGATTCATTTGTTTGCATCCATGTCATCATCATGTTTTGAACATCTTGGTTGGCACGTTCGAATGAACCATACGTTACTCACAATGAAACTGCACCCAGAATAATGAAAACGCGATAACAACTTAGTCTAGATAGAACATTGGCCAGGACATCCCGGCCAATCCGCGCTTTGGCCGCACTTCGGGCTTTGACCATAACATATATATATATATATATATATATATATATATATATATATATATATATATATATATATATCACTATTAAGTAAAAACTAAGTTTCTAGTGTCTCCCCCTCCCCTCCTGTCTAGTAAAGCTAAGTTTGTGCACTAAGAACTAACTCGATGCATTTTTGTTGCTAGTTTATGTGGGATGTGCCACTGTTGGAGCTGCAGCTTGGTGGTTTATGCTGTATGACAAGGGTCCTAAACTCAATTATTATCAGCTGGTAATGTATTTTTTTTTTATTTATGCATCATATTCCTCTTCTTTTCTAGGTGAGTAGGCTAAATGGTTCACTTAATTACTAAGAGCTCTTTCTATTTGACCAGAGCCCTTTTCGCCAGATGCTACCTGGTATATCTGGCTTTGTTCTCATGGCTACTATTGCTAAGACAATTAGTATGGTGAGCCATACCCCTCCTCAAACGCCAATACCTTCCTTTATTCATGACTTAGTTCTCAGACCTGAACACAATCTTAGCTAGCTTTGCTTTATGGATGCCATTGTATGTTACATTGAAAAAAATGCTTCTGTATAGCACAGTTTTAAAGGAAATAAAGCAGCAGAAATGACATATGAGGCAGGTTGATATGTGGACTGCTTATACAGAGGATGACTGTAGTAATCGAATGCTGGAGATTTCAAAAGAAGTTGAATTTAGTTTGATACAATTTTTTTATAATGTTTTATATTTAGGAAAATATATGCAAGTGTTTATTATTTTGTTACAGGGAATATAAAAAGGGTTAGGTTTATTCTAGAGAAAAGTAATGTATTTATTTAAAGTCCAAAGAATTGAATGTTGAGCTCTTTAGAACTTGCATGTCCTCAGACCCATCACATGCAGTGTCCAGCTGAACCACGGATGTTCAAGGGTGTTGATTGCAGTATTTTCCAGGCACCAGAGCCTATGACAATGGCTCTGTCTGTATTAGTAACCATTGAGATGCTCAATGCCCTCAACAGGTAACTCGCATCAACATGGTTCTTCAAGGATGCTAGTCTCACTTTTGCTTGGCTTTATTTTTTTAGTTGTCTCTTCTCTCATTGGTAAACAGCCAGCTTAAGTGCTTATACATATGGCAAGTGGCAGACAGCTAGAGGAAGCAGTTTGAGTCCAGGGCCAAATGGTCTTGGTTGTACTGGGTTTCTTCTTTTCTCTTGGGCCTATGGTAAGAGGTAACAGACTGTTTGATTCTACTGGTTGTACTAGGTTTCTTCTTTTCTCTTGGGCCTATGGTAAGAGGTAACTGATTCTACTTGGCCTGCAACTGCTCTCAGAGCCAGTGCTCTGCAGTTCCTTGGGTTTCTTATGTGTTGTCTGTACTGATCGAACCCAGACTTCCCTCCCTCCCACAGACTCACCAGGCACAGTGCTTGGCTCAGGATGAGATGTTTGCAGGTGTGGACTGTGGTGTGTTTAGTCACCCCAAACCCATGACTATGTCTCTGTCAGTGCTGGTGGTCATCGAGATGCTCAATGCTCTCAACAGGTGAGAGGGCTGTTTTAGTCAGAGCAGTCACTGACTGATAGTGACATTATCTTTTCTGCCTTTATCATCAAAATCAGCTCATATGCCTTTGTATTATTAATGCTAATAGTCAGGCATAGATAAAGACAGACAATGCTGTATAAATAACCAGAATTGTTGTAGAATTTTTTTTTATATAAGCTTTCATAATACTTCATGGATCATTAACAAAGTTATTTTATACCAAATGTACTTTTATAATATACATATTAAAATGATTAAAATGCTTAACCCATGTGTAAATATCATTTATTATATTTCCAAAATATAACGAGCACTGCCATCTAAAACATGGCCTCATATATTGTAACAGTGTTTAGGTGTTCTCAATTCTTCTGGTATCTTATACAAGAAATATTGCTCAAGTCCTAAACACCAGTGTAAACACTGTGGCTAGGATTTAGACTGCAATGTAATGGACAATTGCCATCAGGAAGTTTGTAAAGCTTCTTTGTGCTCATGCTGAAGAATTTTTTTATTTTACAGATTTACAATGACTGTTTAATTATAAACTGGCAATCATTGGGCCATACATAATCATTCTTTTAAACCTTCATATTTATTACACTTCCATGAGTACGAAGTTGAGCATCATGCGTCTTAACAACCTGATTTTTTAAGTTCTTTTCTTTCTTCAACGCTTAATGGGGAGCTGGTTATTTCTCTACTAGAGACACTATGTATTCATTTTAGACTTGTTTTTTTTGTTTTGTCTGATACTTCTGTTTTATTTCTGTGTTTAAATTTACTTGGAAATAGTCTAATAATTTGACCCCTGATGCGGTAGAGTAAAAATATTTAGCTAGCTCTAAAGTTATGGATTTTATAAAACAAGCTAAAAAACCAGCACATTAGGGCAACCTATTTAGGCAAAAACCTTTTTCTAGTTAACAATGTGCTGTAATGGATCAGTTGAAATGGACACATGCATGTCTTTTATTTTTTGGTTTACCTTGAGTTGATGACATGACCATCCATGATTGTTTGCTTAACTGTACCGCACAGGGGGAGCCTTAGTTGGACGTTATTACATGATCACTTTTAAAGGGGACTTACTACTAGCGAGCATTAAGTAGCTTTTTCATATGTGCTAAAAAAAAGTAGAGCTTCTGAGATTACTTAAAAATTGGGAAAAAAATGTTGATGGCAATTATCTGACAAACACCCTGATTGCGGCATGTAGCAAGTTAAAATTTGCAAAGGCTCTTGTATGGTCATGGACATTTTTTTCTTAGTATTAATGTTCAGACAAAATATTTCATTTAGAAAACCTGGAAATTCCCAAATGGTTTTGTTTCTTTTTAAAAGATACGTAACAGTAATACTAGGTAGCAATTTCTTTTGTTAGGCAAAATAATAACCAGAAAGCAAAAGGTCAAATAATGAGCAGAAAGAAAAGACATGAATAAACGTCCACCCAGCTCCCCCTGGTGTTGTATTTTATAGAAAGAAATGACATAGGTTGTGATGACGTGTGTTGTTGCTGTGTTACAACCTTCCTGCATGGCGTGTGATTTCTGTCCAATGTCACTTTCAGCTGTGCACTCAAATACTAACCAGTCCTTTCATTCAATCAATATTATTGCTGAAACCACTCCTACATTGGTGTGCTTAAAAACTCCATGAAATCTGAGATGTTTGGGTATTTGCCACCATTCCAATAATTAACACTATATAAACTAGTTTCAGTGGCAGCATCTCATCCTGAGTGGGAAAAATGGTTTACAAGGTAGGAGCATTGGACAAGAGACTTCCTGGATCTAGCTGTCTGTCACTACCTGGTCATGCCACATTTACTGGCCTGTTTGCCTGCCTTTTGGAGATAATGTTCTTTGATTTGAACCAATGAGTTGTTGTATCTTGGCTTAACCCATGCTAGTAGGAAAGTATCTAGAATATTGCTTTCATTCATTTGCTCAAGAAAGTCATCTCTTGACCTACTTTAACTCTAATGATGCCAAATGTTATTTTTTCTTATATTTTGCTTTGCTTTGCTACAATTTATAGTCTGCCTCAAGTATTGTTTTAACTGTACTTAAAAGCCAAGTATTGCTAACACCAGTAGCTAGTCTTAAAAGTTTGTTGTAGCAGTAGAAATAAGAAAGGGTAAAACAAACATGTATTCTCATGCCTCATTTCAACTGGGTGCTTGGACTTTTGAAACCAATAGCACTGGACTTGATTGTCCCATTGAATTGATTGAATGGAGCTGAAACTGAAATAAGGCATATTTGCATACATGATTGTTAGTCTACTTATCATTGCATGAAATCCTCTTTGAATACATTATCTTTTTAGGCATAGAAGTTAAAGTGCATAATGCATGAAACAAGTCAAACGAAAGAATAGAAGAGTATTTTTTTATATGGTCTGTTTTTCCAAGCTGATCCAGTCTTTCTGTATAGTTGTTTTGTGACATCTGTTAGTATTAATTCCAAAAAGCAACTGAAATAACATGTTAGTTTACTTTTATTTTCTGACATTTTTTTTCTTCTTACTGTTGTGTTGCTTGAGCTGCTACTGAGTTTTACAAATCCAATGTGACTAAATGTTTGAATAAACTGCTGTACCCACACAGCTTGAGTGAAAACCAGTCTCTGATCTTGATGCCACCCTGGACAAACAAGTGGTTGATGGGAGCCATCTGTCTTTCCATGTGCCTCCATTTCTTTATTCTCTATGTGGATGTCATGTCTGTAAGTACCTAAAACTTCTCTTCCATCACTTTTATGATTCACTTTATATCATTTTTTAACCTTTTTTTTAACCCTAAACTGATGGACTAATGAATTAATGCATATCTAAATGAATTGTTTCTATGGTAACATAATTTGAAGCCTTTAGAGGCATATAATGTTTCTCTGGCTCTCTACCCCAGTTTTAAGCTTAAAATGTGTGTGCTATTACACATGGATCAAATGTTTTCAATGTCAGCGAAAGCAATTGTGAGGACAGAGGAGCACACATAAAACACCAAATATCTCCCTAGTCTATTATAGAATATCTCATTATTACTATGTCACTAGTCTATCGTAGAATATCTCACTAGTCTATCATATTACTCACTAGTCTATCATAGAATATCTCATTAGTCTATTGTATAATGTCTCATTAGTCTATTGTATAATATCTCACTAATCTAGTGTATAATATCTCACTAGTCTATCATAGAATATCTCACTAGTCTATCATAGAATATCTCACTAATCTATCATAGAATATCTCACTAATCTATCATAGAATATCTCACTAATCTATCGTAGAATATCTCACTAATCTATCATAGAATATCTCACTAATCTATCGTAGAATATCTCACTAATCTATCGTAGAATATCTCACTAATCTATCATAGAATATCTCACTAATCTATCATAGAATATCTCACTAATCTATCATATAATATCTCACTAGTCTATCATAGAATATCTCACTAGTCTATCATAGGATATCTCACTAGTCTATCATAGAATATCTCACTAATCTATCATAGGATATCTCACTAGTCTATCATAGGATATCTCACTAATCTATCATAGAATATCTCACTAATCTATCGTAGAATATCACACTAATCTATCATAGAATATCTCACTAATCTATCGTAGAATATCTCACTAATCTATCATAGAATATCTCACTAATCTATCATAGAATATCTCACTAATCTATCATAGAATATCTCACTAATCTATCATAGAATATCTCACTAGTCTATCATAGGATATCTCACTAGTCTATCGTAGAATATCTCACTAGTCTATCATAGGATATCTCACTAGTCTATCATAGGATATCTCACTAGTCTATCATAGGATATATCTCACTAGTCTATCGTAGGATATCTCACTAGTCTATCGTAGAATATCTCACTAGTCTATCATAGGATATCTCACTAGTCTATCATAGGATATCTCACTAATCTATCATAGGATATCTCACTAGTCTATCATAGGATATCTCACTAGTCTATCATAGGATATCTCACTAGTCTATCATAGAATATCTCACTAGTCTATCATAGGATATCTCACTAGTCTATCATAGGATATCTCACTTGGTCTGTGACCTAGGCCTCAGATACTTACAGAATAGTGTAGGAAGGGAAAAATGATCAAATCATTTCAGTGAATGAAACCTTTGTTTTGCTTGTTTGTCCTTACTATTGTCAAGTTTTTTTGTGTTTGCCTGTAGGTGATCTTCCAAATTACTCCTCTGAACCTTGAGGAATGGGTAGCAGTTATGAAGATCTCCATCCCAGTCATCATACTAGATGAAACTCTGAAATTTGTTGCCCGCAAGTTTGCTGACGGTAAAAATCCACTGTACTCATGTCATTGGCTTGTTTTGATCTGGGCTGGTTATGTTGGTTGGATGTATACTAGCTTATAAGGGCTAATCAAACATTTTCTATTTGCCCACTTCCCTCAGAAGATTGTCAGCAAAGAAGATTTAATAAATGAATACATCAGTGTCCTCATTTTTTAAAGAATTCACTTTGTAGACATTGAGAATAGAATTGAGGACTTGATGCAGACATATTGAAAACATTGTTTAAAAAATGATGAGGGCACTTGATGAATGCGAGTATAAGGATTGTTCATGTCTCTACTGAGTATGGGTACATTTGCTGATAGATGGCTGAATAGTTTTTATTTTTGTTTCTATTTTTGTTTTTAATACTTCAAACATTTTTTTGGCTATTAACTAAAAAAATATCATTCATTCATCAATGTGCTCATTGAATGTGTAGACTCTAGTCTCCTGTTGTTTTTTTTACCATGTGTGTATGTGTGACTCTGTAATATAAGTAGTTGTGTGAGGCCTGTTGTGTCATTTAGCATGGTGTGAAGCCTTTGTGGTCTTTACCCATCCAAATATCTCATCCCCAACCATTCCTAGTGATTTGATTTGACCAAACTTGTACATGATGAATTGTGTCTCACATGTATTTAGACATTTTTTTACAACTGCATTTTCTTTTTACTGCCACAATATTTTCCTTAATATCCAATAGATTTTGTATCAATGGTTTGATCTGGTGTATTTATTCCTGCAATATGAAAGCTCTCTATTAATGTATGTATGTCTGAAAACATTGTTCTCATTCCATTTTTTGTACACAGGCTATAAGATAACATCAAAGACTTTCTTTGACTCAACTTTTAAAAAAAGTAATTGATTGGTCACTAGAAATGTACTTTAAAGAAGCTGTCAAGTCATAAAACCAGTGCATTACTTGGTTCCCCTCAAATGGGAGAGAGTTATTATGAATGTGCAGTATTTATTGAAAGCAGGATCCTAAATGATCTTTTCATGTGTTTATGTCAAAGGATTATTTTTAGAAGCAACTCCTAGCTTAGTTAATTAAGATATGAACTCCCACTAATTGTGCAACTGATACATGGCCTTGTTTGATCTTGTTCACCAGAATAACTTGTTTGTAACAATATCATTTTTTTTAATTAATATTTTCTTACTCTTTATGTTTAAGATTGATAATTGTATCAAGAGTTTATTTAATCAAACCAGTCAGTTATTTTTACTAGCAGAATTTTAAAACACTGATAATAAGATGCAGTATGTGTATTTACAATATTGATAGTTTTTTCCCCATCTAAATTCTATTTCTCTTGAAACCCTTTCTTGCAAGTCAAACAAATTGTGTGTATTAATAAAGGACTAAAAAGCCCAAGGCAAAATGTGGTAGTTGATTAGGATATTGACACAAGTGTGTGGCTATGTCAGCATGCTAGGTTTCCCCATTAACAGCTAGTCTAACAAGTTGAGTTGAACAAGTGCCAAGAAAATCTTTTTGCTGTCTCTCTAGCCCATTCACTGGTGACACCAACTACTTATGAGCTCAATGTATACACATTCTTTTGAAACTAACCCTATAGCTATAGTTTTTACTCTAACAAAAATTCATTTCAGAACTATAGTTTTTACTTTAACAGAAATTCCATGTGGAAAAATACTTGCCATAGAAAATTTCTTTCCTGTTAACTGACTTATACTTATTGAAAAAATTGAGGTTAACCTGACATTTTTCCTGCACTTCTGTTCTGCTAAAAGAAATTTTTTTCTTGCCAACCTTGACCTGCTTGTCATGGTTGCTCTGATGATGAGGCCAGTGAAAAAAAAGCAGGTTTTGATTGAGATGGTTGAGGAGTCGCTAGTATTATTTATTCTAATGTTTTGATACAAGTATTTTAGTTCCAAAGAAATTGTTTGGTTACTTTAAAACAGCCCTGTTTCCTAAATGTGATAACTAATGTTAGCATTCTTAGCTCTAAGTCAGACTTAACTATTAAATATATATTTGATTACATAAAAATCAGGCAAATTGTCATAGGGAAAATGTGCTAAATGCTTTTTTCTTGCATGATTTTAAACCATTAAATTGGTGGAAATGTTTTTTTTTCAAGTGTAATTAGGTCTAGATAAAACATGCCATGGCATCGTTGACTCATGTTTGGATAATAAAAAGACTTGACTACAAGATGCTGTGTGTTTTAACTCTGTACCATGTGTCTGTCTTGATAACTCTTGGCTTATAGATTGGTTTCTTCACTTGACCTGGATGCTAACTAGAGCTGGAGCTGAAATCTTATCCTGGCTAGTCAGAGATGAAGTGTGCTGTGGGGGTTATTTTCTTACCAAAATTCCTTTTTTCCCATCTTTATATGACTTGAATAGTGCTAACAGCAGATGTGGATAGTGCTGCTAATGTAGAAGGTTGTAGAATGAACTGCTAATAGCCAGTAGTTGCATGACTGTGTGGTCTACTGAAACTGAATGAGCTCTGATTGTTGAATGTGTGGATGTCCCTGTGCTGTAAGGGTGTCTCAGGTAGTTTGTTAGAACTTGTTTGCTTTTTACTAACTTGTTTGATGCCTGTTTTTTGTCACAGTCAAATCATAGCATGGTGTTTCAAGCTACAAAAAGGTAACTTCAAACCTCTTTCAACTCCAATAGTTTCAAGCTTCTGTTACTGCTTCATTTGCTTTCAAATTTCTTTTGATTAACTTTCTGACTGTATTAAAGCGATATCTGTGCTACATTGTGTAAGGAATTTCATGCTTGTGTACTACATGTTTATATTTAGTCATTCCAAGTCAGGCAAAATGTTTGTTGAATTTCTGTTTGAACCTGCCACAAAGGGATCATCCATTCTATGGTCAGATGATGTGAGTTGAGGGTATCCACGTCTTTTTTTTTTTTATCCACAATTTTAGCACAGAAAAAGAGACAATGACCAATTATTTATTTAACCTTGAGAATTGAAATGTTGAATTCATCCGTAACCCTTAAATAGCAAAAATCTACATAATTAACATCTTGCGGATACCAATATAACTAAAGTCTTTTATAACTAATATCAAATGACTTGATCAACGTTACTAATGTAGTAAGGGCTAATTTTGAACTAAATTCCTTATAATTATTAGTAACAAAGCATTGACTAAGAATGTCCATTTCTAAAGCAGACATACATCATTTGCCAGAGAAAAAAAAATAACTTGAATCTTTGCTGCTAACATTTAAGTCTGGCTGTATCTAGCTCTTGTTTTGCTGGGGGAGGGGGTGGTCAAAAAATAGACTTGAGACATGTAATGGATGGTCCCTTACATTTAGATGACTCATGAAAGTGATTGAGTGAAGAAATTGAACAAATATTTACCTGAGTGATCTATTCACATCTCCACCTGGTTACTGGCTTATCACAATATCAGCTAACCACACTCTGGCCAGCGTAGATTGATAACACATTTCTGCATTTCTTTTAATAAGGAACATTGTTTAGCTTAGAGTAATGAAATAATGGTTGTAGGTGACATCTGATACACTTGATACACATTGAGTTGAGCATGTCAGATCATGACCTCAAGCTGGTGGTGTGTGCTTGGGAAACCTTTTGCTGCTGTTTCTTGTTTCTTTCAAATAAAACAAAAACCCTCATTTGGAATGGAGTTTTGATAGTGTTGGTATAATAATAAGGACATTTTCATTCCTGTCCAATCATTTGGACATAAATGTCAACAATTGTTAGGGCATGTGTCAGCTTTCTGTGAAACTTGAGTTGTCTATTATACAGCTCAGTTTGAAATCTTACATATAAGTCTAAAAGACAATAGTTTCAGCTCTTCTCTCAGTAAAAAAAAAATTTCAGTGTTTTTGTCTTCAGTGCTTCACATTTTATTCCTTTCTTTAAATCTATTAGATGAATGATAAAAAATAGTCATTTATGGAGTATTTAGTTAGACAGAAATGCTCTTTTCTTTATTGCATAATACAGTTTTCAAATTTACCATTTAAACACAAAAATTTCTCAACACTGTTTAGAATGGTACATTTATGTATTTACAATGCAACAAATTGCACTAAAAAAACTTTAGAACCCACATGCCCTTAGAATATGGTGATGGTAGCTTTGCCTGTAGTTGACCACCCTTGCTTGTCTGCTTGCTCCCTAGCAAATGATCATTCAGAAAATCATCTTCTACATGAGGTCATATTTTTACTAACCACTTGCTGCATTGCGCCTCCAGCGGATGGTGACATCTCTTATATACGTCCTTCTTTCAGATTATCCTGGATTCTTTTGAGCAAGGAAAGAGCAACAAGTTGTCTAGCAAGTTTAAAACCAAATTTTAAAATGTTAAAAAAAAACTTGATGTCCAGGTTTGAGAAGACTCCTGGCTTCTCTGTATTTCAAATAGATGGCAATATAAAACTAGTTGTCCAGATGTTAAACAATTCAAATTAGAAAAGCAAATGTGGTCTGCTAGTTGAGCAGTGGAAGCTGTCTCCTTCTTTTGATGTTTTCCCTCTTACCATCCGTGCTGTCTGCTGCTGCTGCTGCTGCCCGCTATCGCTGCTGCGATGCCAACAACGTTGCGCTGATGTGCAGTTTGATGCGGTCTGTGGCACTCCACATCTTTACCACCAGGCTTGTAGCGTGTAGACTTATGCAACTCATTTGTTTTTTTTACTTGAACATGCAATCTAAAAGTTTCTTTTGTTTCAATAGTAAATTAAAAGACCAGACTTTGTATCTTGTTCAATTGTATTGACTTAGGAAAAATTTGACAGTATACAAGTGACCACAATTACATTTACTAGAAAAAAAACAACAAAAAATGTAAGAATTTTTTTAAATGTTGGAGCTAATTGTTACCAAACCATTGAAGGTGATTAATGTCAACATTTCAAGTGTATATCTCTATTTATTGACATCACCATGAACTTGTACCTCTGTTTTGATCTCTCATACATCCTGTTTAGTCATCTCCACCAGTCAGGTATCTCATTGTAATATCAGCAGTCCAATCCACCAACTCCCAAAAGCTATTGTTATGTAAGGTAGATGATATCTAAACTAACCAGTTTCATTTCAATAGGACTATTGAAACATTTGAATGGACTGTTTTTGTAAGGGTGACATTTCCATGAACTGTTGACAATGCCATGTACAGCCTCCCTATGTTGTTCACCAACTCTTATGTCAATGACCATACAATTTTCTCACTTTCTCCCATCTTTTGTTTTTTCCCCGCGTTTTTCCAGTGCCTGTGACCCGAGATGACACCTACAAGAGATTCAAGTAAAACAAGATTGTCCCCAATTTCTCAACGCTTATCCCCTTACTCTAGTTAAAGTCTGGGACAAGTCAGAGCTGAAACTTTGTGGCATCTTGTCTGTAGAGAGGGTCAACAGATGATCTTTCAATGTTCTATTCAAACAGTTGATTCTATTTTTATACTTGCCTGGGTCAGATATTGCTGTAGTTTAATGCCAGTGAGAAATGTTTACACATGTGGTCTATAAGATAAGAGTGAAGAATCCCAGGTGGGTGCTGACCACTTGCTTATGGTTATGATTACATCCATGTTTTCCTGTATGCAATAACATTCGTTCATGTAGAAGAATTTATTTGAATCTTATTTAATTGTTTAAGTCAAGAGAAAGTGATAAAACTACCTGTCAAGGATATTGTTTGACCATATGAGTTCCTTGAACTGCTCTTATTGAGTAAGTTATAATTGCCATACAACTAGTATTACCATTTGATTTTGTCATATCATTTTATAAAAATTTATATGAAGACTTATTCAGGCCCAAGTCATTTTTTTTTACTAGAAAAAACCACTTAATTAAATATTGCTAATTGAACTAGATTATTCTAAAGAAAACATATCACTCTCCCCCCCCCCCCCCCCCCCCATTCCCTTTATTCTTATGCAAGTAGTTGAAAGCTTGTGCTCAATTCCTGCACCCCACTGTTGATTCTTATGTCAATTCCAGTAACTCAAATATTTAAGATAGACAGTACTAAAGAGAATCTAGTGACATAATTGGAAGAGCATCCAAGATCTTGCTTAAAGAGATGAGACTTGTAAATAAAAATTTCATGGCTTTTCATCACATTTCATTTATATTTTTTCTCCATTAGCATTCATGTGTACTGCCTCCTCTCCAATTGACATTTTTCAAAATCCTCATATTTTATGAATATATTCAAATCTGGCTAGTTTAGTTCAGAGCAATTGATTTTGGTGATTGAAAGAAGAGAAAATGTGCACATTACCTACTAATTAGCAAATTCAGATTGCATTGCACAAAGCAATTTGGTTTCTTAAGTAGTGGAAAAGATCTGACATGACATTTCATTCTTAGAATGCATAGCTGTGAAGTTGTTATGGAGATGAAATCAAATTGCTTTCATCTAGAAATGGAGAATTGACACTGAACACCCTACATGTTAAATGTTATTTCTATTTATTACTGTTGTGTTTCTATTTTTGGATTGCCAGATTAGCTGGAATGTTGGACATGATAATCTTGTCAACTCCCCATCCCCTCAAGATGATTCATATTGTTATATGTCAGCCATCCCCTTCCTTTCTACCTATGGTAAAGAAGAGAGTTATGTCATCAATCTATTGCAAGAGACCTGTGAGAAACTATTTATTTCCTAGTGTGTCCTCCACAACTGCCAGGATTACCTGCGTGTACAGTCCTTTAATAGAGCTGTGTTTTATACTCTAGTGATTTTTAACATGTTGTTTCAAGATTAAAATCTAGTACAGTTGCTTGTGGCTATTGCTTTAGTCCTTTTTAGTATTGTTTTGTTATAACTGTTTGTCAAAAGGTTTACATAGCATTTATAAATGTAAAATGTACGTTTTTGTCTTCATCATGCAGTGTCACAACTTTTTCAGTATAAAAACGGTCACTCCGTGCATTACAAAAAAGTAGAAATCATGTGGTTGCACATCTTATGTGGTTGCACAAGCTGTAACTAAGTTCTCAATGCTGGCTTTACTGCTGCGCTTTGTTGACAAAACTTTTTCACCCTTCAAGTCACAGACTGACATCCAATTCTGGTAAAAATAGATTGAACTGAAGTCATACTTTCCTGGTTTCTGTAATCACAGCAGTTACAAAAAATGCCATTGAAAGATTTAATCATTAGTAAGTTTATTTTCATGAAAAGATCATAGCTTTTTAGTTCTGCTGAAAAAATTAGTTAACACTAACATCTAACTAAAAAAAAATGGTAATTTAGACAAGAGTGAAATACACCCAAAGATGCAAGCTGTAACTAGGAGATGTCAAGAATGCAGACAAATCATAAAGAACAAGTTTGACAGTGCGACATACAAATAACCAAGATCAGTGTTTCTTTCTGACTTTTTTCTCCAGATGGGGGTGGGGACACTGATAAAAGTAAATATTTATATAAATATAAATTGTTTCATCATGGGGGGGGGGGGGGGTTGATTCTCTGCCTCCCCGAAGAGATGCTTGACAGAAACTGACCAAAATGCATCCAAAAAGTTTAAACATGATCGCTCAGAAACATAATAACCTTGAAACAGCTGGAAGCATGAAACATCTAATCTGAAATAAATGACAATATCACAGTTCACAGTCTTCCTTTTCTTTAAAAAAACTTCAGTATTTGATGATCCTATAAAATCTATCAAAATGAATCATGAAAAAAATGTATTTCTCGAGGCTCTAGATCTATGTAGATGGTGGTTAACCAAAATATTAAAATGGTAGGCCTACAGCACAAGTGGTATCTGATCTTCAAATGTTTAAAAAACAGGTAATATATTAATATGTTATTTGAAACCTTCAGCAAAGAAAAGAATATTTTCTATTACAAAGGGAGAGCATTCTAAAAATAATTCTGATAGCAACAACGGAAGCAGCTGTTGCTGGTGGTTCTGATGTCCAGACAGATGGTTGCAACATAACAAGCAAAATATGGAGAGTAATAATGTAATATGATGTAAGAGTCAGATTACTGTTCTGTACAATAGCACAATAACATAACAAGCAAAATATGTATGTAGAGTAATATTATGTAAGAGTGTTCTGTACAATAGCACTAATAACATTACAAGCAAAATATGTATGTAGAGTAATATTGAGTGTTCTGTACAATAGCACTGATAACATTACAAGCAAAATATGTATGTAGAGTAATATTATGTAAGAGTGTTCTGTACAATAGCACTAATAACATTACAAGCAAAATATGTATGTAGGGTAATATTATGTAAGAGTGTTCTGTACAATAGCACTAATAACATTACAAGCAAAATATGTATGTAGAGTAATATTATGTAAGAGTGTTCTGTACAATAGCACTAATAACATTACAAGCAAAATATGTATGTAGAGTAATATTATGTAAGAGTGTTCTGTACAATAGCACTAATAACATTACAAGCAAAATTTGTAGTACATGTACCTGTTATAAGTTATAAAAAGTAGAACTCTCTTCAAACTATGTCACATATCATTTTAATTTTCCTTGTCTTTTGTTGTATGTAGTATGTCATCTTTGTTTTCATCTTGTGTTCTACTAAGCAAGTCATCTTTATCAATACCAGCAGCAGCCAAGACTTGAGGTGATGCAGCACTTAAGATGCTTGAATTATAAACTGAAAATTCACATTCCAGATAAATATCCAAGCATTTGACAAATGTATTTATATTTGCATACTATTTTACAGCTAATGGGGGGTCTAAAAATTGGGTTCCATGACAAATGATCTCAGGACAAATCCTTAAGACAGTCAATTTTTTAAAATGTTAAAATCGACTAGATAATAATCTCAAACACTATACAAAAGTATACATATTTCGCCGTGAGATATTTAGTTTGAGATCATTTGTCCATGGTATCATTTGTCTTGATATATTTTGTCCTGGTATCTTTTGTCCATGAGATAATTTGTCCTGTCACCAAAAATGTTCATATTCTAAACTTTAGAACAAGAGTTTAGATGAGAATTCATTTCATATTTTTAAAGCACTCCTGGCCTACAGTCCAGGTAAGTTTCCTAGTTGGCAATGGTATCATTGGTATGACATCAAAGCAATTTGTACAGGCTAGGCAATGGTATCATTGGTATGACATCAAAGCAATTTGTACAGGCTAGGCAATGGTATCATTGGTATGACATCAAAGCAATTTGTACAGGCTAGGCAATGGTATCATTGGTATGACATCAAAGCAATTTGTACAGGCTAGGCAATGGTATCATTGGTATGACATCAAAGCAATGTGTACAGGCTTCTGCTAGGCTTATAATCTATAGTCTAAACTCTAAGCTGTATCAGTTTTTTTCATCATAGTAAACCATTTTTAAATTGAACAGAAATAATTTAAAATGTATTCTTTCAATTCATTTTACCTAGATCTATGGACTAATAATGGTATGTTTCTTGTAATAATACCTCCCTTACCAGGTTTTTTTGCACTATCTCTCAAAGCCATTAGCATCTCAGCCACAAGTGAAACATATTCCTCCTATTCAAATGAACAAACAAACATGAAAATTTTTTTTTAACAGACAAGGTCTTAGATTTACACCCTACAAACTAGCAAGAAAATAAACGCTGGCACCTCCAGTGGAATCTGGCTATAGAAATGGTACGCAAGTCTGTGACCAACCAGCTCAGTGTTTTCAGAGAAAACAGAAGCAAAAAGCTATTTATCTTGGCCAAAGCCGGAATAACTTAGCACTAAGAGCGTATTTTGTACATTGGCCGGCCAATGCGCGCACTGGCCGGGGCGTACTTGCCAAAGTCCGAAGCGCTTAAACTTGACAGCGTATTTTGTACTTTGGCCGGCCAATGCACGCACTGGCCGGGATGTCCTGGCCAATGTTCTATCTTTCGGTTTGCTGACAGGCTGAGAGTATTATAGTTGTTTACTAAATTGAATCAGGTACTTCCACTGGCAGGGCGATTGGCTATTTTGTGGGCGCTATGGTGCATACTTTCGTTCTAAACAGTGCGATAGACAATGGATATGAAAGGTTACTATAGTCGTACATTAAATCGAATCTGGGCGTCCTCTGGCGCCCCAACAGAGTACTATTTAGCGCCTCGGGCCTTTCCGTGTTCGCTATGGCGCCTGCGTTCGTTCAAGTCAGTGCAAAAGACTATGAATAAGTAGGTATTATAGTCGTTTACTAAGTTGAATCAGGGGGCTCCGCCAGCGCCCCCTGACGTATTTAGCATTATTTTTAGTTATTGTTTGTCTTTGGATTTGTGTGTGTATCTTTGTTTGCTTTTTTGTTTGTGTTTTCTTTGGGTTTGTGGTTGGGTTTTTGTTTGAGTTTGTGTTTGCATTTGTGTTTGCGTTATGTCTGTGGTTTTTTTTTGCGTATTTTAGTTTTGGTCATTTGTGGTTAGAGTTAATTCGAAAAGTGATATGTTCTTAGACCCGGGCAATGCAGGGGATATGCTGCTTAATAAACACACAAGTCATGGTCCTTTACAGACAGGTTTTTCACAGTGGCCAGTAAAGGCCCTGGCCAGTACGACTTATATATATATATATATATATATATATATATATATATATATATATATATATATATATATATATATATATATATATATATATATATATATATATATATATATATATATATATATATATATATATATATATATATATATATATATATATATATCTTCTTGGAGACGATAGAAAACATCAAGTTGTAAGCGCGCTCCCTTCCACCCCCACATGGTCTGATGAGCTAAATGTTTACAATCGTATAGCCGGGTTTAGTGACGACTATTAGGAGCAGATAATTTAGTTTGAAACGATTTTAAACTTATGGGAGGTAACTAAGAGGGATTTACTTTCACCGGGGGGGGGGGGGGGGAGCGGGGTTGGGGGGTAATTGTCCTTAACGAGATACTGATAGTGTTTTAAAGCAAATATTTTCATTGGCAGCGTTGGTACTGTCGAATTCACAAATTATGAATTACTGAAAAGTAGATAATAAAACAACTAAATAGCGGCGTATTATACTCCGCGGGTCGGCTCATATATATATATATATATATATATATATATATATATATATATATATATATATATATATATATATATATATATATATATATATAAATATATATATACACTTAAAAAGATATAGTTTTGTAGTTGTAGCCTCCAATATTTTTGAGTTTAGTAGGCCGAAAGTTCTTAAATAATGATTTAAACTTTAAGTCACTAAAATGCATCAATGAAACACTGTAATCCTAATCCGAAAGAATTCATGAAAATAATTATAATAAAAATGGTTTGTTTTAACTTAATTAGCAGCTTACTCTAGTCTTTGATTGGCTGAATATAAAATTCTCCAATTCCTTGCTTGAGTTTTTGGCTAGGAATTGTTCTAGGGGGTCATGTGACGTCACTTGAGGATTGGCTTCTATTCTGGCAGTGTCACTGTAATGTTCGCAAGAGAAACTTTTGCTTTAATTCAAAGAAAAACATGTATTGCTCAAGCGTGGGGAATAAATATATAAAAATTTATATGAAGTTGAGATAGGAGTGGGGCAAAAAGCATTCTGTTAATTTGAGGTACCATAAAGTAAAGGGCAAAAGAAAAAAGAGCACTCACTTAGAAACACACTAAAACAAATTGAGAATCTCCTAAAGAGTAGGACACAGTGGGACACATGGGTACACAACACACAGAGACACACTAGATCAGACTTTGGAACTGAAACACAATGGAATAAAATGCGAAGAACAGCGCATGATACACCTAAGATACACTCCCAAACCATGGCAGCTGATTTACAGCTGACATACGTTCAATTCTAGCTAGTGGCTACAGCGAGCTTGTGTCGCTCTCAGATATAAATAAACCATTCCCTCTATCTGCTAGTGGCAAACAAGTCTGGATGCTGTCATTGTTTTTACTTTCGTGGGTTGCTATGACAACGCATAAACTATAGAGTCCTTGCAAACACGTGACCTAAATCACGTGATACCTACGCCCGCCGCCACAGTGGTGTACACAAGACGTAAACACAATCAGCTGTTCACCAGCGCTGGACGTGTTCACCAGCGCTGGACGTGTTCACCGTATGTAAAGAATCGCGCCCGCGGAAAAGGAAAAATATGTTAAAAAACTTGAACTCTTAGGAATTGAAGATCCTTATACAGTTATTGACAGTTTCGTGGATAATATAAATATGTGGCCAAAATTTCGAAATAAAAATACTGTTAGTAATACCGTTTGCGTTTAGAGTTTAAGTAGACGAATCTGATCAAATGAAGTAATATATTATAGGTTATCTACTGTAGCAAACGTGAGACCACTTAACTCCTACAAAACCCACACTACAACGACTAATATAATCCATGGGTAATAACCAATCTGGGTAACATGTTATACAATTTAAGACCTTATAATCCAGCAGGGAAGTGATCAGACACATTAATACTGATGTTCAATCCTCATGGTGGCCAGCCGCCACCTGTATCTAGCCCACAATAAAACCAAAGAGGAGTCTGCCCTGCCCTCCCCTGAAAATGTCTCACCTCCGTGATACCCAGCCCCACAGAGATAGTATTTCTTTTATAATTTTGACCCTCAGGGCCCAGCAGGGAGAACAAAGGGAAAAGTCCCACTGCTCTCCCCTCAACATTTCTCACCTCGATGTCATGTTATGTCATTTATAGCACACATGGCTTATCAGGGGAAAGCATTAAGGCATTAAGAATCTTAACTCTGGACAGCTACACACTAGTATACTAGCTACACACTAGGTGCCTACTGTAAACTACTAGACTGTAGGCCCTATGTAGACCTGCAATTGTATCAATTGTAGACTGGGTCCAATGTTATTATTCTAAACCATCTCACTTATAATGTTTCTAGCTTGATTTGTTTCTTTTATAAACAGTGGATTTTAAAAAAAATTAGCCTAATCATTAACCAAATAATAATAATGTGGTTATTTGTTGTTGGCTGGTATGATCTAGATTGTACTGCTAGGCTACAAAAACTTAGTAGACCAATTACTAGATATGAATTTGAATTTAATTAAACTCAGTCCAGTATCAGATACATATTGCTGTAAAAAGACAACAAAGTAGGTAGGCCTTAGTAATTTATTAAGGCCTTCTACTACAGTAATATCAACTACATGCTTGTATACAGTTTTTAAAATTTAAGTAGCAGATTCTAGATCTAAGTCTAGTCATACAATCTATTTCAATTTCAGAAAATTTCGTTTGCTAAAAAAATGATTAGATTATAGAGCGAGATTTTAGATCTTAGAGACAATTAAATGCTTTATTAGGCCTATAATAGTATTATGACTACTTTTGATTTATTATCAGAGCCGGCGTTAGGGGGTGGCAAACGGGGCGACCGCCCCAGGCCCCGCGCTTGAAGGGGCCCCGCGCTTCAGCAAGGCCATTGTTGCCTGAATTAGTTTGTAAACTTAAATAACCTTTGCTGAATTAAATTTAAAAAAAAAACCCAACTAAATGGCCGAAGTAGTTGGATGTTAAAACTGAGGCCAAGGCTGATGTTAGTGAGTTTTTCTTTACATGGGCTGGGACAGACCATTATTCTAAAGAAAGACATTAGTGTCACACATCGCTGGCACGGTCAACTTGCTATTGTCCTGAGGTGACTGGAGATGGCGGTCGCGAATTAGCCCCCGACCTGACATGGGAGGTAAAATCGGGAAAAATGTAAAAAGATACCCTATTGTTTGCGGACCGTTGAAGACGTTTTTTTTAGTGAGCAGGCGGGGTGCCTGTAGTAAACAGTCAGTGACCTGATGATGTCTTGCAGAGGAGGAGGGGGGGGGGGTGATAGGCATCCATACAGTAATTATGTTCATATTTATTTTATATAAGGTCAGGTCATCTTTAAATACATTATACTTGTATTTATTTTTATATTTTTGAAGGGCATTTATACAGTAATATTGTCCATTTTCATTTTGGTAAACTTTAACGGTATTCGTAAAGTGATTAAGCACATGTTTATTTTAATTAATTGTAGGGACAGTGGCGTAGCGAGGTGAGGTGTCACCCGGTGCGGCACTTAATGGTGACACCCACCTCCCCCAGAGGCGTAGCGACCCTTCCCGGGAAAAAAACTTTCAAATTTTCAATTTGCACCCCCCCCCCCTCAAACTTTCGATTTGCACCCCCCCCCCCCCTCAAGTTTTCGATTTGCACCCCCCTCAAGTTTTTCTCTATATATTTTGCTATTTTTTGCCTTGGTGTCACCCCCCTTAATGGTGTCACCCGGTGCGATCCGCACCCCCCTCGCTACGCCTCTGTGTAGGGATATTCAGTATAATAGTTAAGGCCATAGTGATTCTTGTTTTAAAATAGTGTGGGCACACTAAACAAATTATAAAATCTATACTGTTTGATACATCGTACCGAGACTGTTTTATAGTAAAGTTCTCCTGATTTCTAAAACGTCTAAATTACCGGCAGTCCGAGCATGCCATCGCGAAACTCATAAATAACATGGTTCACTTTCTAATTATAGACACGGACCTTCTCTTGTGAGAACGCGGTCTTAACCTGTAATGTAATACGTGGACGCTCTATACACACGCACCTTCTCTTGAATGGCTGCGGCCAGATCCAGTAACCTAGTACCCGAACTGATTTTTTTTTTAGGGTTTGGCGTCCCATAGATTTAAATGTACAGTTATCCTTCACGGGCTTCACCTCACCCCACCAACTGTCACCCCCCCCCCCCCCCCCCAGTGTTCCACCTTACTGAGCGTCCGTGATTACATTTGAGAGTCATTTCATTTGGATATCTATAGCTGTAAACAGTTTTTTTTCACGATTCGAGCTTATTCCGAAATCTATCAATGTTTTGCTATTTTCCCCGGCATCCACACACTTTGAATGCCACTGTTAACCCTCGATAAATTGAGAAAATATCGATACTATCACCTGCCACTGTGGACCGATTTAACGTTGCTTCAAAGTGCCCGAAGGTATTAAGTCAGCCAAAAAGTGCCTTCAGTACATTTGGAGTATTCGGGATTCCTTTCCCAATACGGCGATCGCCTACAGAATCTTGCAAACAGTTCGAGTCACAGTGGCAAGCGCCGAAAGAAGTTTCTCCAAACTGAAGTTGATCAAGAACTATTTGAGATCAACGATGTCCCAAGACAGGCTCTGCGGCCTGTCGATTCTGTCAATAGAAAAAGACATAGCCTCCAGTTTGGACTATGATGATATAATCATGGAATTTTCCTCACGAAAGGCAAGAAAAGTAGATCTTCGTTTGTGAACGTACTGGTAAGATTTTCATAAATAAACATTAATGTAAAAAAATCAGGTTTGAAGCTGACGTTCATCGACTCTTTAATGCGTGTCTCAAACTTATATCTGTTTTATTTTTTACTTTTCAAACAAAAAGCCTTAACAGAAAAAAGCAACGTTTCAAAAGCACTTTTAAGTAAACAAATTATTTGTTAATCAGTGTCTTAATGTTAATACGACATTGATAAACAGCTTAAAAATACCATATATATCGTTATAAATATTAATTCGCTTTGAGAAGAAAAAAAAAACGCCTCACTGTACATGTTTTATTTAATTATACACCAATGAAAAAAATATAAGGCCCCGCGCGGATGGTTGGCCATAGGCCCCGCGTACCCCTAACGCCGGCTCTGTTTATTATAGGTGTATTTTGAATCGAATGTAGATCTAAATTTTGTAATTAAATTTAAGTAAAGAAGTAGATTCTAGATTCTATGTCTACCCAGCGGAGTCAGTCACCCTAAATCCAGAATCTAGATCGGTGGTCCGAATTTTGTTTACGCCATGTTTAGAGCTAGATTCTAGATCTAGATATTAAAACACTATTATTAGGCCTACTATTAGATCTTATTCTTCTTATTATTACTTTTGACTTTGTCTTTTATTAATAGTTATCTTTTATAATTAAAATGAAGTTTATTATTTTACTGTCCTTACCTGAAACAAAGTATCGAGAACTGCATTTGATCAGATTCGTCTACTTAAACTCTAAACGCAAACAGTATTACTAACAGTATTTTTATTTAGAAATTTTGGCCACATATTTATATTATCTACGAAAATGTCAATAACAGTATAAGGATCTTCAATTCCTAAGAGTTCAAGTTTTTTAACTTATTTTTCCCTTTCCGCGGGCGCGATTCTTTACATACGGTGAACACGTCCAGCGCTGGTGAACGCGTCCAGCGCTGGTGAACAGCTGATTGTGTTTACGTCTTGTGTACACCACTGTGGCGGCGGGCGTAGGTATCACGAACGGACGTGACGTCATATGAAAGGACTCTATACTTAACACAGCTTTTGTCTGCCCCCACTACATGACTAGACCGTAACCCCGTCTGAGATCGGATTGTAAGATTGTTTTGACTAGAGTACTTACATCTGATTGTAAGATTGTTTTGACTAGAGTACTTACATCTGATTGTAAGATTGTTTTAACTAGAGTACTTACATCTGATTGTAAGATTGTTTTGACTCGAGTACTTACATCTGATTGTAAGATTGTTTTAACTAGAGTACTTACATCTGACTGTAAGATTGTTTTGACTCGTGTACTTACATCTAATTGTAAGATTGTTTTGACTAGAGTACTTACATCTGATTGTAAGATTGTTTTAACTAGAGTACTTACATCTGATTGTAAGATTGTTTTAACTAGAGTACTAACATCTGATTGTAAGATTGTTTTAACTAGAGTACTTACATCTGATTGTAAGATTGTTTTAACTAGAGTACTTACATCTGATTGTAAGATTGTTTTAACTAGAGTACTTACATCTGATTGTAAGATTGTTTTAACTAGAGTACTTACATCTGACTGTAAGATTGTTTTGACTCGTGTACTTACATCTGATTGTAAGATTGTTTTGACTAGAGTACTTACATCTGATTGTAAGATTGTTTTAACTCGAGTACTTACATCTGATTGTAAGATTGTTTTAACTAGAGTACTTACATATGATTGTAAGATTGTTTTAACTAGAGTACTTACATCTGATTGTAAGATTGTTTTAACTAGAGTACTTACATCTGAGTGTAAGATTGTTTTAACTAGAGTACTTACATCTGATTGTAAGATTGTTTTAACTAGAGTACTTACATCTGACTGTAAGATTGTTTTAACTAGAGTACTTACATCTGATTGTAAGATTGTTTTAACTAGAGTACTTACATCTGATTGTAAGATTGTTTTAACTAGAGTACTTACATCGGGTTTGTAAGATTGTTTTAACTAGAGTACTTACATCTGATTGTAAGATTGTTTTAACTAGAGTACTTACATCTGGTTGTAAGATTGTTTTAACTAGAGTACTTACATCTGATTGTAAGATTGTTTTAACTAGAGTACTTACATCTGATTGTAAGATTGTTTTAACTAGAGTACTTACATCTGACTGTAAGATTGTTTTAACTAGAGTACTTACATCTGATTATAAGATTGTTTTAACTAGAGTACTTACATCTGATTGTAAGATTGTTTTAACTAGAGTACTTACATCTGACTGTAAGATTGTTTTAACTAGAGTACTTACATCTGATTGTAAGATTGTTTTAACTAGAGTACTTACATCTGACTGTAAGATTGTTTTAACTAGAGTACTTACATCTGATTGTAAGATTGTTTTAACTAGAGTACTTACATCTGACTGTAAGATTGTTTTAACTAGAGTACTTACATATGATTGTAAGATTGTTTTAACTAGAGTACTTACATCTGATTGTAAGATTGTTTTAACTAGAGTACTTACATCTGATTGTAAGATTGTTTTAACTAGAGTACTTACATCTGATTGTAAGATTGTTTTAACTAGAGTACTTACATCTGATTGTAAGATTGTTTTAACTAGAGTACTTACATCTGATTGTAAGATTGTTTTAACTAGAGTACTTACATCTGATTGTAAGATTGTTTTAACTAGAGTACTTACATCTGATTGTAAGATTGTTTTAACTAGAGTACTTACATCTGATTGTAAGATTGTTTTAACTAGAGTACTTACATCTGATTGACACATCTATCTCTGAAGACTTCCGACTGCCAGTTGGACATAAATTGCTCGGCTAGGCCTGACCCTCTTCTGTCCATCGTCTCCTTATCAAAACCACGGGGTTCGGGTTGGGTTCGGGTTGGGTTTGGGCTGTTAAGTTTCTGATCTTCTGTCCAGATTGTCTGCCCTTGCTAGCGTTGTCACAATGGCAATGGTACTGCTATAAAGGATTTCAATTAAATTAAAGCGGGAGATTTCCCCTAAATTTTCACAGAACTCGACGTTTTACACTTCCATGAGTCGGAAAAACATAGTTTTGCAATTTTGTCCGTATGTCTGTATGTATGTGCGTGTGTAAGTGTGTCTGTGAACACGACAACTTGAGTACCGTTACAGCTAGGTTGATGAAATTTCATATATAAGTAATATATTGAATTTGTTGTTATGTTTTAATTTTTCAGCGATTTCCGATAACCGGAAGTGAAACTTATTCTACTTTTAGTTTTTCAAAAGCCTATTTCAGACAGATGAACGAAATTTCACATATAAGTGAAAGATCTAACTTTCTCCCTTTCTGTGAATTTATAAAGTACTAATAATATTCCGCACTATTATACACATATTGTTTGTTGTTCACTTGATGCACAATTCTTTTCTCTAGCAAGAAGGGACAGACACGTGTCTTTTAGATATTGCAATCTAGTAATCGGGTTTGAATACAAATATTTGGATTGATCTAATGTCAGCTTCATTTAGAGCGGATCTAGTCCCCTGATTGTTTGGGTGGGGTGTGCTCGAACGACAGGTACCCGCTTTTGTATAAAGTTGTAGCCCTTGGTTGAGTGTGTTTACATAGAACGAGAGGTGTTCACGTGAGGGTTGTCAGGTGAGGTGTGCTAGGTTGTGTGGCAGTTGGTTGGTGTGTGTGGTTGAGAGAGGACGTGGACGAGTGTGTTGAGTATTGTGTATTGTAATTTGTGTCGTAAACCTTTTCATATTTATTACATAATTATACTATAACATATTACACCCCGCAAAATTTTTTGGGCCATATATATATATATATATATATATATATATATATATATATATATATATATATATATATATATATATATATATATATATATATATATATGTGTGTGTGCGTGTGTGTATAAACAAAATACGAAAATACGAACATAGAATACTTATTTCTGTTTTGAAAATCTCAATATATATTCAATATAATTCTGCTATAATGCTACCTAAAAGCAAGACGGTCAAAAGAATATGAAGTATGAAAGCTTTGTATGTGTAGTGGTTTCTCGCGTTATTTTTATGTTTTTTGTATTTATATTTTTAGTTTTAAAAACATTTACTTTTTTTTTTAAATTAAGAGACGTAATTGTTTTTTAATTTGTATCGGGACTCTTGTGACATGGCCATCGGCGGAGGCCCTAATGTAGCGAGACTGATGATTCAAGTAGTACACCTATCCCATGCGAAGGCCCCTAATGTAGCGAGACTGATGATTCTAGTAGTACACCTATCCCCCTGCGAAGGCCCCTAATGTAGCGAGACTGATGATTCAAGTAGTACACCTATCCCATGCGAAGGCCCCTAATGTAGCGAGACTGATGATTCAAGTAGTACACCTATCCCATGCGAAGGCCCCTAATGTAGCGAGACTGATGATTCAAGTAGTACACCTATCCCATGCGAAGGACCCTAATGCAGCGAGACTGATGATTCAAGTAGTACACCTATCCCATGTGAAGGCCCCTGATGTAGCGAGACTGATGATTCAAGTAGTACACCTATCCCCCTGTGAAGGCCCCTAATGTAGAGAGACTGATGATTCAAGTAGTACACCTATCCCATGCGAAGGACCCTAATGCAGCGAGACTGATGATTCAAGTAGTACACCTATCCCATGTGAAGGCCCCTAATGTAGCGAGACTGATGATTCTAGTAGTACACCTATCCCCCTGTGAAGGCCCCTAATGTAGAGAGACTGATGATTCTAGTAGTACACCTATCCCCCTGTGAAGGCCCCTAATGTAGCGAGACTGATGATTCAAGTAGTACACCTATCCCATGCGAAGGCCCCTAATGTAGCGAGACTGATGATTCTAGTAGTACAGCTATCCCATGTGAAGGCCCCTAATGTAGCGAGACTGATGATTCAAGTAGTACACCTACCCCCCCCCCCTGTGAAGGCCCCTAATGTAGCGAGACTGATGATTCAAGTAGTACACCTATCCCCCCCTGTGAAGGCCCCTGATGTAGCGAGACTGATGATTCTAGTAGTAGACCTATCCCCCTGCGAAGGCCCCTAATGTAGCGAGACTGATGATTCAAGTAGTACACCTATCCCCCCTGTGAAGGCCCCTGATGTAGCGAGACTGATGATTCTAGTAGTACACCTATCCCCCTGTGAAGGCCCCTAATGTAGCGAGACTGATGATTCAAGTAGTACACCTATCCCCCCTGTGAAGGCCCCTGATGTAGCGAGACTGATGATTCTAGTAGTACACCTATCCCCCTGCGAAGGCCCCTAATGTAGCGAGGCTGATGATTCAAGTAGTACACCTATCCCATGTGAAGGCCCCTAATGTAGCGAGACTGATGATTCTAGTAGTACACCTATCCCCCTGTGAAGGCCCCTAATGTAGCGAGACTGATGATTCAAGTAGTACACCTATCCCCCTGTGAAGGCCCCTAATGTAGCGAGACTGATGATTCAAGTAGTACACCTATCCCATGTAAAGGCCCCTAATGTAGCGAGACTGATGATTCAAGTAGTACACCTATCCCCCCCCCCCCCCTGTGAAGGCCCCTGATGCAGCGAGACTGATGATTCAAGTAGTACACCTATCCCCCTGTGAATTCCCCTAATGTAGCGAGACTGATGATTCAAGTAGTACACCTATCCCATGTGAAGGCCCGTGATGTAGCGAGACTGATGATTCAAGTAGTACACCTATCCCATGTGAAGGCCCCTAATGTAGCGAGACTGATGATTCAAGTAGTACACCTATCCCCCTGTGAAGGCCCCTAATGTAGCGAGACTGATGATTCAAGTAGTACACCTATCCCATGTGAAGGCCCCTGATGTAGCGAGACTGATGATTCAAGTAGTACACCTTCCCCCCCCCCCCCCCCCCTGTGAAGGCCCCTGATGCAGCGAGACTGATGATTCAAGTAGTACACCTATCCCCCTGTGAAGGCCCCTAATGTAGCGAGACTGATGATTCAAGTAGTACACCTATCCCATGTGAAGGCCCCTAATGTAGCGAGACTGATGATTCTAGTAGTACACCTATCCCATGCGAAGGCCCCTAATGTAGCGAGACTGATGATTCTAGTAGTACACCTATCCCATGTGAAGGCCCCTAATGTAGCGAGACTGATGATTCAAGTAGTACACCTATCCCATGTGAAGGCCCGTGATGTAGCGAGACTGATGATTCAAGTAGTACACCTATCCCATGTGAAGGCCCGTGATGTAGCGAGACTGATGATTCAAGTAGTACACCTATCCCATGCGAAGGCCCCTAATGTAGCGAGACTGATGATTCTAGTAGTACACCTATCCCATGTGAAGGCCCGTGATGTAGCGAGACTGATGATTCAAGTAGTACACCTATCCCATGTGAAGGCCCGTGATGTAGCGAGACTGATGATTCAAGTAGTACACCTATCCCATGCGAAGGCCCCTAATGTAGCGAGACTGATGATTCTAGTAGTACACCTATCCCATGTGAAGGCCCCTAATGTAGCGAGACTGATGATTCTAGTAGTACACCTATCCCCCTGTGAAGGCCCCTAATGTAGCGAGACTGATGATTCAAGTAGTACACCTATCCCATGCGAAGGCCCCTGATGTAGCGAGACTGATGATTCAAGTAGTACACCTATCCCATGTGAAGGCCCCTAATGTAGCGAGACTGATGATTCTAGTAGTACACCTATCCCCCTGTGAAGGCCCCTAATGTAGCGAGACTGATGATTCAAGTAGTACACCTATCCCATGCGAAGGCCCCTGATGTAGCGAGACTGATGATTCAAGTAGTACACCTATCCCATGTGAAGGCCCCTAATGTAGCGAGACTGATGATTCAAGTAGTACACCTATCCCATGCGAAGGCCCCTGATGTAGCGAGACTGATGATTCAAGTAGTACACCTATCCCATGTGAAGGCCCCTAATGTAGCGAGACTGATGATTCTAGTACAGGGGTCGGCAACCTTTTGAAGCGGAAGAGCCAAAAATTACAATTTTCAAAATTTCCCTGGTTTTAAAGAGCCACTTACATTTTTTTTCTTTCAAATATTTTTTTTTTTATTAAGATTATTAGTATTTGTTCAAGGAGCTGGAGAGCCGCATCTTGATATAAAAAGAGCCACATGCGGCTCGCGAGCCGCAGGTTGCCGACCCCTGTTCTAGTAGTACACATATCCCATGTGAAGGCCCCTAATGCAGCGAGACTGATGATTCTAGTAGTACACCTATCCCATGTGAAGGCCCCTAATGCAGCGAGACTGATGATTCTAGTAGTACACCTATCCCATGTGAAGGCCCCTAATGCAGCGAGACTGATGATTCTAGTAGTACACCTATCCCATGTGAAGGCCCCTAATGCAGCGAGACTGATGATTCTAGTAGTACACCTATCCCATGTGAAGGCCCCTAATGTAGCGAGACTGATGATTCTAGTAGTACACCTATCCCATGTGAAGGCCCCTAATGTAGCGAGACTGATGATTCAAGTAGTACACCTATCCCATGTGAAGGCCCCTAATGCAGCGAGACTGATGATTCTAGTAGTACACCTATCCCATGTGAAGGCCCCTAATGCAGCGAGACTGATGATTCTAGTAGTACACCTATCCCATGTGAAGGCCCCTAATGCAGCGAGACTGATGATTCTAGTAGTACACCTATCCCATGTGAAGGCCCCTAATGTAGCGAGACTGATGATTCTAGTAGTACACCTATCCCATGTGAAGGCCCCTAATGTAGCGAGACTGATGATTCAAGTAGTACACCTATCCCATGTGAAGGCCCCTAATGTAGCGAGACTGATGATTCAAGTAGTACACCTATCCCCCCTGTGAAGGCCCCTAATGTAGCAAGACTGATGATTCAAGTAGTACACCTATCCCCCCTGTGAAGGCCCCTGATGCAGCGAGACTGATGATTCAAGTAGTACACCTATCCCCCTGTGAAGGCCCC